TCTGGTGAAAGTTAATTTGCTTAGCCTTATCCCTTCAAGAAGAGAGGCCTTATTTGTTTCTCAATCCCTTTGATATAGGTTGCAAAGGGGCAACCTTAACCTTGTCCAGAGCCAAGGCTGTTTATTTGTGAACATTTTATTTTTTTTAACATATTTATAGAGAACACATTATTAAGTCAGGTTGATATAGTATGCTGGTGACTGGGCCACCATATGTAATGTATACAACAATTTGTGGTTCTCTATTTCCTGACATTTATAACATGTAATCTAATATAAATTACCAAATTTAAGTCCAGATATGTAGTATACAATCAGGTAAAACAGTGATAGAGTTTGAAAGTAAAAAAGGAAAACAATCATGCCTAAATGAACAGCGCAATCTATTTCTGGATTTTTATTGCATTTATGAGCTTATTGTACTCATAATTAAGAACTAGATAAGTATAATTCTAAGAGATACATGCTAGACTCCATAACATGTCTATTATGTGTGACAATAAGAAAAAGAGATAACAAATGAACAATGATCTGCATTTTTTGTCATCTGCACATGCTTGAGCTGCTGATCCTTGCATTATCCGTTTGTGGGTTGAGGCTTTGCGACCATGACATATATGCATAACCATGATGTCATGTGTATGGACAAGATGTTTAGTCATTTGGGCTTTCTTTTCTTTTCCTTTTCTCCAGAGATGTTGACACATAGCTTGATTTTTTCCCCAAAACTTGTTGTTCGAGATATTCAAATTGGATATTTGAGTTGTAGCATTTTTCAGATGATTATACATACATGATCAGATAATTATACATATACCTTAGCCCAAGAAATCTTTAAAGCTTGTTTCAATTATCTGGACAGTCTTTTCTCTTTAAAAGATGCAATTAAACAATTTGCAAAATATCTATAACATTTTCCCCTATCATATTCCTGTAGCAGTGCTAGTAATAGCATAAATTATGTAAACTTGATTGTCTTTTGTCTGTTTCACTGATTTTATATGTTTAGCAGTAAGTCTGATTTGCTATCGAAGTATTCATACAATCATTTTTTTGTTACCTTATGTTTCTTGATGTGACTTCTCAAGACCATATGTACTAATTTTATACATTCAGGTCATGACTGCAAATCCTGAATGTGGGACAATTGACACGCCAATTCTTGATGCTCTACATACCATGCATGATGGGAAATTTTTGCACCTACCTGTTGTAGACAGAGGTATATTTACCCACAAGAAAATGCAAATTATTCTTCTTGACTGTTACTCATGATTTGTGCCTGCAACAGATGGGAACATTGTCACAGTTGTTGATGTTATACATATTGCTCATGCTGCAATAGCTACTGTAAGTCATTGATGTACCTTTTGAGCTATTCCATATCTTGATGCGCTTGACCTTTTTTTGTCTACTTTATCTCGCTTGCAAGTTTTATACTTATTACTGACTTGATGATGGAGAAGAATTTGCAGTTTGGTGTCTTAGTCTCATTATAATTGCCTGCTGTCTTAGAAGATGAATATATCATGCTCCAGGAAATTGGAAGCAATGGGCAGGTACAACCAAGGTTCGCCGTGCCACGGTGTACTGCCTAGTACGGACGGTATGTACCAGTCCGACAAAGGATTGGTACAAGCGGTACATACTAGTTTGTTGGTATGCCTCACTATTCCATGTGTTGAGACATCAGTACAGCTCGGTATGTACCATACCGATAGCTAGTCAGTACACCGCTACGGACCGATAAGGCGAATCATGGGTACAACTTCTATTATAAATATGAGTGACGCTGTCACAATATTCTATTTTTTAAAAAAATGGCACTTGATTTTGAGTATTCATGGATTTTTAATCCATATTTTTGTGTGTGTTGGAAGCGATTATACCTATTTAATGGAATGAGCTAGAGACAATTCATATGGGTAGATAATCTGCAGCATAGATTCTATTAACATTTTTTTTTCTAAAGCACAGCAGACATTAAGTTGGCTGATATCCAGTGTGTTACATGGTAATAGTTCCAGCTCAGTGAAAAATCGAAGGTCCTACTTCATTAGTTGGTTCGGTTGTAAGTCCTTCTCATTCATGTATCAGGGAAATCCCTCAATGTAAAAGTGTATGCAACTGTAGGGGTGCAACTATTAGGTATATTTACATTCCTGATACTTATTTAAAGATGTAGTCACAGATAACCAGACCTTCCCTGCCCCAGTTTATTCAGAAATCATCTGTAGTGGGTGTAACCACTAGAGATTTATTCCAGTTTCTTGGTAGTCGTCATACTGTGAAGCACTAAAACATGTCAGCAGATTGGGCTTTTGAACCATTTCCTTATAAGCACTAAAACATGCTTGGGTGCCAGCAGATCTGCTTAAGGATGTGTTTCATCAATTATTTATTGTTGCTTCTAAGTTGATTCTTGATCATACATGCAGGCAGGAAGCAGCAGTGGTGCAGGAAATGAAACAGCAAGTGCCATGATGCAGAAATTCTGGGATTCTGCTTTGTCCTTAGGACCCTTGGATGATGATGATGATTCTCGAAGGTTTGGATGCTTCTATCTATCTGATTATTGTCATTCAGTCTTTATTCGTCATTAGCATCCATAGATCAGTGTGCTACTGGTATTTCAGTGAAGGGTCTATGAAAGTGGCATCAGAGGCCACAGATACAGTAAGATCTGCCTTCTATCCACCTTCAGGCTTATCTACGACCTTTGGTTTCAAGCTTGAGGACAAACAGGGCAGAATGCATAGATTTAACTGTGGTATGCACCCTGATCAAATTTCATTTTTATCAGTCTGCCTTCAAAAACTAATTACTAAATTCCATGTTGCACAATGCAGAAACACAGAGCTTGACGGACCTTATCACTTGCATACTCCAGAGGGTTGGTGATGATATCGATAGAAATCATCTTCCGCAGATACTTGTAAATAACTAACTGTTTGACTTCAAATTGGAATCCATGTACCTTTTAGCAAGCTATTTTTGGCATGTATACTTCTACCTAACATAATTTCTTGATGATGTTATGTAGTATGAAGACGAGGACCACGACAAAGTTATCCTTGCATCAGACAGTGACCTTGCAGCAGCAGTGGACCATGCTAGGCAAGCTGGTTGGAAGGTAATATCATATATGACTGTAACTTGCTTTGTGTTTGACACTGGTGAATGACTACATATTAACTAGAACCCAAGTTTAGAATGACCAAAACTGGGAGTGCAACAGATCAGATGCTCATGGTGATTTCTTTCTGTTCTGCAGAGCTTAAGGTTGCATTTAGATTACTCGGGTTCGGGTTACAGGAAGAAGGGTCGTGGATCGGGATCGGCAGGCTTAGAGCATGCGCACAAGGATGCATGGGCAGCTGCATACAGCACCGTCGCCGCTGGAGCAGCACTAATTGCTGGTATTGGAGTTATGGCATACTTGAAAAGATCAGCATCATAGATAGATCAGTCCCCATTCCAAACATTCTATTGCAATAATACATTTCACCGACAATTTTATCGAAAGAGTGAGCTTGGCAGTGTATAAATAAATCTTCCATGACCTGTAAGACGCATACGTACTTGCATTTTTTTTATCCTCAGCACACATGAAATCTTTGAGAATGTGTCACAAATCTCATTCTTTTCTTTGCCTTTCTATAATAGTATTTTGTTATTGTATCGAACGTAGACGTTACGATGCTGATATGGGGCCGAAGTTTGCTTTAAGGTCGAGGCAATGATTAGTGTATGGTATTGCATGTGTCTTTGGGAAATAATGTAACCATCACATCACATCAAAAGGTCGTATTTTTTTACCATATCGACGGCTCGCCAAATCATCATCGGTCTATCAAATCGAGTTGGATGTTCTTAGGGCGGGTTAGACTCGATCGATTACTAACCTAATGGTGATGGCGGGATTCGACCTTCTGGGACGCCTTCAAAGGTCCCTGTTCCTCGTGGCCATCTGAGGGCCGCTTCCGTCCTCCCCGCTCCTCTTGATGTCTCCGCCGTCGATGGACTCGGCGAAGAAGCTCGGTGTCGAGATCCATGGCGATTGGCAACGCCCAGCCTGGTTCCATCACCGCTCGTCAGCACAGGGCCAAGTAAGGAAGTTCTCTTCTTGGAACCCTATTTGCGTTCTCATTTGTTGAATTATGGGATTGCTCAAAGTTCCGATCTTTTCTGTACTTGTTTGTTGGTTAATTTTTACGGAGAATCATGGTGGTGATGCTATGAACATTTTAGGGAAGCATCTTTTGTTGGCAAATAAAAAAGAGAAGACACTTGTGATGTTTCACATTGTATTTGTTTAGCTTGTAAAGCTTCATTCACAAATTAAACAAGTTGATGGTGGTCGAAGACTGGTGTTGCGGATGTTAGGAGCCAAGAACTTACCATCATAAACTTGATATGTCTGTGTCTTTTAGGTAGGGAACCTAGAATTAATTATGTGTTGATTTGACCATGGCGGGTTTTGGCTGTGAATCACAAAGTTAACTGTGACCAAGGTAGTATTTGTTCTTGAGAATGAGGGCTTAGGTAATCGTAATATCTTTTCTTAAAAGAAAAAAACAAGAACTTGTTTTAAGTAGTTATCATAAAGGAATTCTTGGGGTTGGCTTCATCTATTGTGGTCCTTTCAAAGAGTTAAATTCAATTGGAATAGGTAGGTGTATGAACCTTTACGTAAAGGTATTTGTGGGTGATATTATTGGATGGCCTAGTTAGTGTGTTAGCAATAACATCAGCCTTATCATACACATAATAATAGAGCAATAATATCTTTGCATAGCCAAGTTGGTCAACTAAATCTACGTTACATCGAAGGATTCTGGAACAATACAGTATAATGTATCAGAGGATGGTTAAAGGTGTTAATCAATCATCTAGCATAAGATAATTCTAGTGACACTAAGATTGCTGGTGTTGACCAATAATGCACTCTAGAGGATATAGTTTCGTTAAGATATAAGAAATTTGTGATAATTCACAAGTTATTCAAAATGAAAACTTAGCACTGCTCACATTGGAAATGTGTACCACAAGATTTTGATGTCCCTAAGAGTCTCAAACTGGAAATTGATAACAGGTCTTGCACATGTCATTCCATGCAATATTACAAGCATTGTTGTTTCACATAGAATAACCATCAGTCTGTTGGGCTGTCTTCAAGCTCCTATCGAGAAAACAGAAAAGAAGATAGCAGATACCAAGGTAATGGCAATACTACCATCAAGTCGGACCCGGCACATGAATCCATTGGAAGCGGGGGTCACATTTGCGGATCCACCGGATGAGAAATTAGCTGCACGTGACATAAATGGACAAAATTTCAACTTATGCGCTTGCTTAAATAATCCTTTTGTCCTTGCTTATTACACTATATAATTTGTGCTAGAGGACAAACCTTTTGTAGCATTCATGAAGATAGCATAGTCTGGTGAGCTAGGAGATAATTTCAGAAGCTCTGCCGAACATGTATGTAAAGTGAGTTGTCATGACAAGATTGTTGTAAAATATTCAGGAGAAGAATACGTTAGAAAAGTAGTGAGCGAGCGAAAAACTAGTTTTGACAAAATTTGTTTGACCTTATGATGCCTAGCGTTAGTGCATCAGCAAAATACATATAACAGTAACACAACACAAATATCAAAATCGTGTCACTTCTAGATGTTTAGTTAGTATGATCATGTTCATGCAAAAGCATGCATGGTATATTAATTCACAAATAAATTGCAAACTATATTTACTATGCATACCACAAATCGTGTTATGTTACCAAAAAAAAAAGGAAAAAGTGACAACCAGCATGGGGAAATCATGAATTTTGATGATGACAATATAATAAATGGTACTTGTCATAATTTGTAATTTACGCTTTCTTTGATGTTGTTCAACCAGACATAGGACCAAATATTCAAATTAAAATTGATATTTGGTCTCTTGTTGGACCAGGCCATAACTTTTAGTTGTTGCCTTTTTGCATTCAAACTTTCATCTTGTTATGCATAATTAACTATTCTTTTGAATGTAAAAATGCACTCGAATATGCATAGATCTGCATCGTTACTGTATGCATTTTCAATTATGCATACATGGAGGGTAAGGGACTAGAAGTTATACTTGTGGTCAAGGGGGGTTAAATTTTAGTCTGCTCAAGGAATTGACCTCCTGGTCATAAATTGTCTTATGACACTGTTGTGAGTGAATCAAATGGCCTAGCAAAGAAGTATGACAGGTAAAAGAAATTACAAGTTGTATTTTAAGGGGAGCTAAAAAGAATAATCTTTGGAAAAAGAATGGATTATAGTCAAGTTGTCCTTCAAATCTTCAAATGTCATAAATGTCATATGACACATGATGAAATCTTTATGGTATAGTATGGTCAAACAATTGATTAGTAGTAAAATTCACCTTCAAAATATTCCTGTAACTGGAATTTATTTAAAATTTGAAGCTAATATTTGTTTAGTTTGTTTGGAAGTCCATAAATGTCTTATGACATGTTTATGTTGGAAGTTTTATAGTCAATGGGAGTTAAAAAGATGTTGTTGGGCAAACATTTATTAGGAATAACATTCACCTTCAAAACTTTCCTTGCATGCTATTTATTCAAGTTGTTTGACCACCATAAGATTCCAAGGTAAAAGACAGGCAAAAATATCTGAGCCAACTAGTCTAAACATGTATCTGTGTGAGCATAGAAGTTAATATAATGACCTGTAAGATGTGGCCAAAACCATCCAAAGCTCTTTTACCTTTTTAACTTTTTTTTTTTTTTTTTTGTGGGGGGATGAGAAATTGAGAACCCTATCTAAAATTGTATTAAACTTCCTTTCCTCATCTAGTTGTGATCAAAAACTTGATCTACAAAACATACCTTTCAAAGTCTGAAAATAATAGTATTGAATATAAGATCTTACACATGAATTAAGATAATGAATGATACAGCAGTCCCAACTGAATTCCTGATACCACATATAATAGCTTAGTGCAAGTGAAGCAATAAATCCTCTAAGCCCGTAAAGGCATAACCGTGCAAATATCATCTGCCAGTTGAGTAGCCAAATCCTAATCTATTGCCAGTTTTAGTCAGTGTTAGTGCATCTGCAGACATATCCATATACATATGCAACATGCATAGAAGAAAAATGTCTCACATATGCTGAATGCTCAAGTGTTAGCAACTAAAGTTAGTCACTTACTTGGGCAGTTACTGACGCTGGTGTTGGCAAGCTTGCAAGCATCTGGGAGCTGGAGGAGCCTGTCGAACTGCAGCCCAAGACTCTTGATGGTAGATGATCCACCATGGGTCTGCTGTATGATGTAGCAGAGGCAGACAGCATCAGCGTTTCTGATGTCCGTCACTGCACTGCAGCATGAGCTCGATGGTGCACTGGCCTTGGCAGTGGCATAGTCCATACATGAGGTCACCTTGGTGAACTCCTGTGAGCACTTCTGCTGGATGGAGGAGTCCTCACAGGTACTCAACCCTATTGCAGAGAACAGGAGGATGAAAGATAGGACAAAGGAGACAGTGGAACCAGCCATGGTCAGTGAGCTTTTGCTGTAACCGGAGAATGAGCTCAATGTTATCAGTTGCCAAGGAGCTGGTTACATATAGATCAATAGGTTTGTGATGAGAGAGGGAGGTAAATGTTTTGTGCATTGAATAGCAGTAATGGATCTGAGGCTGGCCTTGTGTTGTGGAGCTCTGATGAGGTTGTGAGTGTTTAATGTCGAGTAGTTGTGGCAGGTTTTGTAGGCACATGCAATGGAGATAGGAGATCACTAAAACTTGTTTGTTCTGTACTTGTAACCAATAAATATTGATAAATGCTCCAAACAAACATTGAAGATTGCTGAACAAAGGAGACCACATGAGGCATCAATTTTGGATTTTATCCCTTCTGATGCTAATGGGTTTTGTGTGGTTTTGGATAGGAATGAAAATGGATGTGATATTGGAACAAAGTGGATGAATTGTGGGATGGATTTTTCTTGATTAATGGATCATATTTGAATCATATGGTGAACTTGTAGAAACCAATCACTGATACAATGCCTAATAGAACTTAACTTGATACAATGAATCTACTGTAAATCCAGTTTTGATATGGGTAAGGGAATCATGGAAGAGAAGAGAAGAGAAGAGTAGAGAAGGGGGATGTGAGGCTTGGGACTTGCATCCATCTTTATTGATCTGACACTGCCCACACTGACTCTTACCATGTTGGGCGTCTCAGACATCATTTACTCCCTTGGATACGACAGGTGTAATGAAGTGTTGCTGCTGCTCCTCACCGGTGAAGGCATCGACTGGGTCACCCCTGCAAAGGTTCAGGGCTGAGGTGGTCTCCCGGGAGACCTCCACGCTGCTACGGTCATCGGGTCTGTGGAAGTCGATGTCACCCCTGACGGTCTCAAGGTCCTGAAGCAGGAAGCATTCATTGAAGGCAGACCGAGGAGGATGGCTTCGACGCAGGCTCGAGCGGGTCGGGTTGGGTTGTCGACGTCAGTACGGTTGGTACAAACATCAATTTTGAAGATCTCCCATTGATTGCAAGGTTCGTCCTTTTACATTTGCTCCTCCGTCTACTGCTGCATGCATCTAACTCGCGGTTTGTAGTTTCTATGTCACAAATGCTTCGGACTCATGCCATGTACGTGGATAATAAGCATCAAGGTATTGGAGAAGACTCAAAGCGAGGATTTGAGGGTGATTTGAAGGAGTTATGCAGGCAAAGAGAACTTCGAGTAGGGAGGAGCAACGGGGATTGCAATGACTTGGAAAGCAACAGTGCAGCAGAAGCGGCTAGGATCGAGGGAGGGACGTCTGGAAGTGAAGCTGGAGACGACAAAGCTTCTGGCTGCGTGAAACGTGCCATCTGACCGCGTCCGGCATGGATTGTTCCCACCTAGGAGTCTTGGACCTACTCCCCACCCACCTCCCTACAGAGAGGAAAAGAGCGCGCCTCTTTTGGCTTCGGTCGATGCGGTAGAGGTATCGAAATCACTCCTTTTCGGTTGATATTGCTAATCTTTGGGGAAAGTTCTAATCGTGGGCAGCTAGAGAAAGAAGCGGAAGAGGGGAAGGAGAAGGTGGAGCAGGGGGAGCCAAGTGAGGATGGAGGTGGCAATGGAGACGTAAAGAGGGGGGAGGAAAGAAGGCATCCGATAATTCCCCGGAGAAGGTGGTGATGAAGGTCTACAGGCGCTGCGAGGTCCGCTCGAGGAAGGTGTTTGGATTGGAAGGTGAGGAGGAGGTCATTTCTGTTCGTTTATTGTGTTTCTGCATGCTTTTTGGATGGTGTGTTACGTTTGAATTAGCCCCTGCTTAATGGTCTGATCTTTGATCACACATAACATGTGTTTTGGTATTGATGTTACTCCGGCAATGCACCACCAAAACACCTCATCTTAGCTAGCTGAATCAAAACAATAGCAGATGGCTCAACAAGAAGAAAGACATAACAATGCTGATGATACACATAACTTCAATGTCCTCATAATGAATTTTATGAACTTCATTTGCAGAACAAATTCAAAACAAATGATTCTCAACTGTGTAGTGAATGATTGGTGTAATGAAAACACAGTGCTGCTGTTATACGTGAAACTAAAGATGTTTTAATGGAGTTTAGATGCAGTCCTTGCGTTGCCATTCTGCTCTTGCTCGGACTATCTCTGCTTTGTCCTCTTGCAGGCGAAGCAGGTGTGTGCTTCCCAATACTGCTTTGCATGAACTTATACTCGTAGGGTATTCCTCGGTTTCACCTGTTGTCATGCTTGTGAGGGACTCAAGCAAATTAGACTGTCGGCATTCCCTGCGGTACTCAAGTGTCATGCTGGTGAGATGATAGTCCTCTAGCACATTCATCGGCACGCTCTGCAACAGGTAGCAAACAGTTGCATTCAAGTTACTAATCATCCAGTGTGAAATGTATAAGTTTAAGTACCTGGCATGTTCTCATTTTCTTGAGATATTTGAACAGGGTTGGTTGAAGTTGTCGACATGCTGGTCAATTATGAGGATCTAGCATTGTACTGGGGATATGCATGTCAGGTAATTTTGCATTTGGGTTTAGTTTCTTTTCCTCGACTTAATTGGAAAAAAAACAAATAGCTTCAAGTTTGGTTCATTTCTTCTTCAAGAGAACTCCAATATGCGCAGAACAAGTTCTTAAGTTTGTAAGGTTAGATCACTTTTGTAAATTTTAATGACCGATCCAATAGGTAATTATTTACTTGTAGAGCTCACATTGAGTGAAATTTTGAAATGTTAAAAAAGTCATTTGTTATTCTCATTCAGGTAAGAAGTTAATTACCTCCAAAATCCATCCAATGTACTTTACGTTGTTTACATGCTGATTGACATCCATGTCGCTCCACCTTGGCTAAATCACATGAAATAAATGTGTTAACTCTGCTGATCACTTCTATGTGCATTTTGCTGATCTAATTCAATGTAACTAGATTTTCGACGGTGTTACTTGTCGAAAAACACTACTTATGTTGATCGTCTCTAATAGTACCCAACAAGAGTATGTGCACTTACTTCTAAGCCTGATCTGATGTTCTCTGCAGTGTCTTTGGTCAATTTGTTGATCTTTTCATTGTCGCAACTACCATAAAGAAATACTCTCCTGTCCAAGTAGAAGGGTTTTACCTCTTCCCTCACCTGTTCGGGTGTCTTAGACAACCTCCTTGTTTCTCTATTCATCATTACCCAGTTGCTGCATTTGTGGATAAGAAAAAGTTGAGGGGACAGTATTTTGCTGATACGAGCAATTGTAGATCTACCTTGTCGCTCTTGTTATTATCTGTTGGGTGCTATAATCTCGGATTATCCAGTCTCTGCGCATACCGTTCTTCCCAGATGCTGCAACCCAAGTATCAATCTCGACCACATCTCCCCTGAAACCATTTATTTCATTGGTCGTTAGAACACATTTATCTTAGAATCCCAGTCCATAGTACTAACATTGTGATAAAATAGAGAAATAGCACTAAAGATATTCATGCCTTGTTATGTTCATCTACAGAGCTAACCATTTTGTATATGCTTTGTTTTCATGGTACATTATGCATTTCTAGTTGATTCTTCTTGGCTCTAATATTAGCATTTGGTTGAAAGCACGTAAATATAAAGTTTAGAAGGAAGACAATATTTGCTATTGATGTGGAGTGCAAATTCAAATGTAAATTTGTCGCATAAGCAGGTGAATGCTTTCTTGGAAATAAGACTGTGAACCGGGAGCTGTAGATATAAATATATCTTGAAGGCAAGGAGAGGTCTAACATACCATCTGCTGTACTTGTCAACTTGAATGTTGATTCGAGTAACAACCCATATAAGCTTCCTGAGGCTCATCTCATGTGTTGCGCCAAACCCATCGCTGGCTAGGCCAGAGCTCATGACATGGTTGAGAGCTGTCTCCTGCACTTGTTAGTCACCAGCACAGGAAGATTAAACACACTATGAAGTGTTGAACACAACACTAATAGCAGAAACTTGTATGATATGCTTGTGAAAGTAGACTTCACTACATAATTCGATAGCGCATAATGAGACGAACATGTTAGGAGCTAAGGCTTCAAATCATCATTCACCTTCTCTTCGTCAAAACATTGTGCTCATGAACTTTCAGATGTGTCTTATGAAGTTAATTATCATCTGCTAATGGTGCCCAAGGACATGCAACTTTTTGACACGCAATTCATTGAATTCTTTGTGATTGGTTATGTTTGACAGAAGTTTTTAGTGCAAGAAATATTAGGATGTGAAACTTGTAGCATGATGAAGACAGCTGATTTAGAGGGTTTGATTACAGAATGTGTATAGAAGGATGAAAACATTCCATAGCTGTAAGACAGAAATATAATCCTCAGTATTCTATGCTTTGTTTCTTAGACTGTAATGTTATGTTTTAACTCTGCAAACTTTTTATGTGCAGAGAGAAAAGAAGATGATGGTATGCAAACAAAAAGTAGAAGTGGAGCACCTGCAGGAGATTCATGAGGGTCTCCATGGTTGCAGTTTTGTCAGGGCCAATCTCATAAGATCTGATCACAAAGGTCTGCCTGTAAACAAATCTGTCCTCCACGAACCTCCCGAGCTTGAAGGCATTCACTGACACCATCCCACCTCCATCACCTGCCCCAAACACTGCAGTGCCCGTCCCCATGGATGAAGGAGCCTCGCTCCCATGCACCACCCCATTCACCTTCCTGCCATTCACTCTATCCACACTCACTTGCTTCCTACCTCCGCCACTGACCTCCGCGCACAATCCCTTTACCTTCCCCTTCCTTCGCCAGCCGACGACAGCAGTCGCAGTCGCAGACGAAGCTTCTCCCTTCTTCACCGGCCATGGCCTACGTAGGTGCAAGCTGCTGCCTCTACCGGAGGTCGCCGACATCGGCATTGCCATCGATGGAGTTATTGTCTTACCGGAGTATCCATGCTGCAGGGGTATGAGAGAGGAAAGACGATGAGTCAGTGCAACAACTCGAAGACCTTAAGAACAGAAAGAATACAAGAAAAGCTTAGCTTGTTTGATGAGAGAAATAGAAGGGATGGGGAATGCAGCTCAACCACCTCAATGGATGGAGGAGAGGAAGAGGAGCACGCCATTACAGGAGATCTCTCATCTACTGGTTATGCATTGGTGGTTTGCCTTAGTATTAGGGAGTGAAAGGAGGAGGGTTGGCTGGTAGTAGCAGCTCACCTGCCTTCACCACCCAAACATTCAACCCAAATCTTCCTTGCTCGTATTAGATCCTCCAAACACTTGCCCACAGTGGTCACGTGATCACTACCATCATCTCTTCCCCCCCAAACATTATATTTATCTCAATGTTGCTTGCAAAATCCTTTATATATATATATATAGAGAGAGAGAGAGAGAGAGAGAGAGCTTCAATAATAGTTGGTTTGCATCAGCTGTCCATTATATCATACTAATCTTCTTCAATAATAATTATATGATAATTTACCTCAACCAAAAAAAAAAAGATTTTTATTAGGCTAATCTGTCTCTGCTGTTCACATAAACCATAAAAATTAGGAATTTTAATGAAAGACAATAATCGAGTATATAGATAGATATATGTAACTCTAAATTTTAATTAAAAAAACCTCTAGAGAAAATTATTATGATGTAAAAGAAATTAATATTGACACAAACCATGAATTTATAAAGACCAAGCAATCTTAGATTTAAATTGATTGCGATCTACTTTAGATTTGAAGAAAAGAAGACGCATATAGAAAAAAGGAGTCAGCAGGAATGCCTGGAGATTGATGAAATCCCAATCATGATCCACTGGCTTCTCCTCATCCTCTCGCGTGCACGAATCTTGATGCCCGTGATTCTGCTCCCCCCGAGCAAAGCATGGTGGAGGAAGGCGGATCACATTCGAATTGCACACAGACAAAGCATGGTTGAGGAGTTGCATGTGAGCTGGGAATGAGACGTCAACGACTGCTGCCCTATCCATGTCTCGACTGTGGGAAGCAAACGGCGGCAACAAGTCGGAGCACAGCAGAAGAGCCATGGCACGCTTCATCATCTTTGATTGAATTGTCAGCTCCTACGATGAAGAGAAAGCCAACACCGTAGAGACATGCCAACCTTTAAGTCAGAGCTGCAAGGCCTGCAAAGTTGACATGCTGATGAAGAAGATTACAATATGCTTCCTTCAATTGCTCTCTCTCTCTCTCTCTCTCTCTCTCTCTCTATTTCTTCCTCAAAATGATATGATAGTTGTCTGACGACTTCGCTAAGATTTTAGTTGGACTGATACATAAAATTTCAAATGCAATAATATGGATTATAAATTTAAGATGATATTAGAACGAAACATTTATATTCAGATATTATTAATATTATGATTGATCATTGAATTGTGTCATAGAGTTGGATCGAGTCGATTCGTTTTTCCAAGATTATTATGCCTTATGAATGAGATCTCCAAAGGAGTTGATCACTTATATAGAACAATTTGTTCTACGTAAGTCTCTCAATCTATAAACCTAATGCCAAGAGTGCCTTCGAGAAGACCACTTCATAGAATGAGAGCCAAAAAAAGCTTAAGAGTGGTGTGAAGAATAAATTTGAAACAAAACATATTTCAAAGAATATTCTTTCCTCAAGCTTATATTAAGCCGATTGTCTCTACGTGTTGAATTATAATCGAATTGAGTTATTGATTATATCAAATATATTAGTTATATTATCGATCAATTCAAAGGATTAACATCAAGCTACCATCCACAAGTTTATGAAGACAATGACATTGAAAACAAGTTAAAAAGGAATAATACTAAGTTAAAGGAATCCACATCTTTAATGTGGATGGCCTTTTTCTCTATCCGAACTCAAAAGAAAAATCATGATCCAAGTCCACATCTAACAAAGGTCACCTTCCTCACGAGTGGATGAGAGAGTATTTTGTGTCATTTTCTTGAATTGGCTTCTGACAATAACTGAGAGCCATGGAGTCATGTAAACAAGAAAAAGGAAGCACCCATTCATTGATGCACCCACCTGCTGCAACACAAAACTGTAGCCTAAATCCACCACCCTCCACCAACTCTAGTGGAGTCTCCAAAGGCTCGCATGTAATGGCCAGGAAAAAAGCAACCACAGCAGCTCAGCAGGCCGAGAACTGTCAGAAACCTTCCAACAACAGTGCCACTTGAGGCAGGAGCAACAACGCTGAACTATTGCAACATTTCTGTCATGTGGTTGTTGGCTTCAGTTCCCCCTTTCCCCCTGTCAGTTCCAATTCTGCTCTCTCTCTCTCTGTGCTCTCATTTCACACACAGTGTCAGTCAGCATATGAGTAAGTGGAAGAATGGCCCTGTCAATGGGGACCAACTTATCCTAGCAGCCACTTGTGTAGTGCCATGAGGTCACTCGAGCGCAATCTTTGAAATGGAGTCCCTTGCAAGTGATGCAGCTGGAATGCTGAAAACAATCATAACCCACAATTGGTGAACGGAAGGTAACCATGGGAGCAGCAATGATGAGATGGGAATCCAATCCATATAGTGTAGGGAAGGTGATTTGACAATGGGTCTCTTCTCAGGCAGGGGCAGTCACAGGGTAGCCTTGACAGCTCCCGCAAGACCCAGCATGGCAAGGAACATAGACCTGCACAGGAGGGGGAAACTTTGCAAGGAAAAAAACCATAAAGACCGAAGCAGAAGTAAAACCTTTATTTCACTTGCCAGCATCAACGAAGACCAATGATATCTTGGCCTTTCTTTTACCACACCTGCTCTCTTCTCCATTTTCACCACCCCTTGCATCATGTAGAACATTTGGGGAAGTAGGTATCTTGGTTTTCACCTGCCATCTTCTTCTTTATGCTGTTGGCCCAACGCTCTTTCTCTCTCTCTCTCTCTCTCTCTCTCTCTCTCTTCTCTCTCCTTTCTTCAGTTCCAAAAGCTATTTCAAGTTTCAACCGCAGACTGATTCGCCAGTCAGTGGCAGAATCCTTCTGAGGTCTCATGGGAGCATAGTTCCTCACTTGTTACCTCTCCTCTCTCTCCTCCATCTCACCATTCAAGGCCCCAAAATTCCACCTTTCCCTCTTCTCCCACCTCCCTTTCATGGATCCCAAGGGCTCCTCCAAGCTTCACCAGGAGGGCCTTCCGCAGTCGGACAAAAGAGAACCCATCACCTCCTCATCGGCCGCAGCAGCAGCAGCAGAAAGCAGAGACCTTTTGCTTTCCGCAGCGGCTAAGGATGAGCAAAGGAGGCAGCTTGCACCCAAGAGGAGCTCCAACAAGGACAGGCACACCAAGGTCGACGGCAGGGGAAGGAGGATAAGGATGCCTGCCCTTTGTGCCGCCAGGATCTTTCAGCTCACCCGAGAATTGGGCCACAAGTCCGATGGGGAGACCATCCAGTGGCTCCTCCATCAAGCGGAGCCCTCCATCATCGCCGCCACCGGCACGGGCACCATCCCCGCGTCAGCTCTCGCTGCCGCCGCCGCCGCCGCATCCATGTCCCTCCCGGGCGCCACCGCGCCCGCCGGCCTCCACCAGAAGCTCGACGAGTTGGGACAGGAGGCGGGAGCCGCCGCCAGGCCTGGCTGGGCCGTGACGGGGGCCGCTAACCTCGGATGCTCCCATCCTGGCCTGTGGCCGCCCCTGGTGGGTGGGTTCAACTCCGGATTCTTGCATGCCACCGCCACCGTTCCCTCGAGCTCGAATCTTTCGGCCGGAGGCGGAGACTCGGTGAGCAGCTTCATGCAGAGGATCGGCTTGCATGGGTTCGAATTGACCGGCGGGAATCCGGGAGCGGTGAGCTTTGCGTCGATGTTGAGCGGGCATGGCCAGCAGCTGCCAGGGCTGGAGCTCGGCCTCTCGCAGGAGGGGCATATCGGGGCGTTGAATCCTCAGGCCTTGGGCCAATTCTATCTGCAGATGGGTCAGGGAAGGGGAGGAGTTGGTGCTGGTGGAAGTGGGCAGTTCCATCTTCTTCATCATCATCAGCATCATCATCAGCAGCAGCAGCAGCAGCAGCAACCGGCTGGATCTGCAGAGAACGATTCAGAGGGATCAGAACAGTAGAAGGCAGAGATTTGAAGGTGAATTCAGTGATCCATGAGAAAAAATTAGCAGTGTTGTGCCAAAGAGAGCAGCAAGAAAGAGACAGCCACAGGATTCAGCCACTGATGGCATCTACCTGCTCCTCTTTCTCTGCAACTATCAGCAATCACAGCATTCAGGTACTTGTCCTCTTCAATAAATTCTACTGCCAATCCTTGATGGTTGTGCATCCCATGGTGTGTTACATCATCTGGAACATGCAGGTGGATATCACTGGATCTGAATCAGTTGGAAGGAGCTCAGCAAATTTTAAGTAATTAGAGGTGTGTAAATAGTTGTTTTGGGCCTATTCAACATTTTTTTTGCTGTCAGGCACTGATGGAGTTGTGATTGGCTTGATTTGTGACAAATAAATATGGGTCTCCCATATAGTTGTGCATGCTATTGGTTCCTTCAGATATATGTCTTACACTGCTTGCAGCATTCCTATGTTGGTCTTCATATACATGATGATGATGATATTGTAATATGTAGAAGCATATCTATCACTGTTAACACAGATTTGTTGTTAACAGTGATAGATATGCTTGTACATCATGGGAAGAGTAGACACCTCAATTTGATCCTAAAACACCAATGGAATCCCAGTGTTGTTTAGAGTATGCACTGTGATTCTGTTTGTAGTCTACCTGAGCACAGAATCCATTATTCTCCCTTTTCTTTTTTCTAGAAAGGAAATGCTTAGGTTAAATTTACATCTTTGAAGTACTCATCATTATCGATGAATTTACTACAATTACATACCTTCTATTCTCTTTCATTCTTCTCGGTAGAGTTATCCCCTCTGGACTGGATTTTGTTGCCTGAGAAGAAACATGACATGATACTATTTAGTCCAGAAAACAACATATCAGAGCAACAAAGCTTTCTTAAACAGCATAATTAAAACTGTGACTTTTAGCTATTGTACCAGAGCAATGGACTGGACTTCATGTGCTATGCATCCATCATTCAATCAGGTCTGCTGGGATAAGAACATGTATGTTGATTACACTACCTTGTTGTCACTACCAAATTTATCATATGAGGAAATCAAAGCAGCTAAGGTAGGAATTGTCATGATGGATGAGCATTTATGATGGAGTGGTCAGAAGCACCTTTGAGTGTTACCTTTCATCCCTGATGTAAGAAAGAAATAGATGCTTTTTCACATCATGCTAAGAAATGTAGAAAGATGTTCAAGTCTCTTGCCAATTTAGTGTCTTGGGATCATTATGTGAAGTTTTGATCCTCCCCACATATATTAGATCTATTGTTCCCTCTGAATAGCAGACAACTTGTAAATAATATTTGACTTGAGAAATGAAAATTACTTGAAGTTGAATCATGATTTCTCTAGGCAGATAAGTTGAGAACTGAAATCTCTCCAGTTGCATTGCCTCATCATCCAAGCCATTCCTATGATGTCAATTATATTGATTAAACCATGATAAAAGAGGAATCATGAGATAAGAAATTTGTGATCAAGGTGGAGGGTCTGCACCTGTAAGCAGAGTTCATAGCTTGGCTGAACACCAGTTAAACCACTTCTTTTCACACAACAAAACACCTGGAATGCCAAAAAGTACTGTTTTGCACCACATGACTAAAACTTGCTTCATCCAAAAATTGAAATTGGCATGTTAGAATGCTTGAACATAAAGGCATCACTGTGGAGTGACACCATGATCTTTGATCTGTGTCCATAATTTGGCACTACAGTGATAATACTCTATTAAAGCTGTTCCTAGTTCTTTAATTCATACATTTCCCAAGCATCATCATCAATACCAACATCATAAAAAAACAATTTTCACTGATATAGGGGGATTACTGCAACAAATTCTGCATATTTCTCCCAAAACATGAAAAATGAAACTGCGATGCACGATCGGCGGGTCATCTTTCTTGGTCTAATAAAAAAGGGTTGGGCTTACATTAGTTTTCAATGGATAGGTGCCACAGGCGAAGATTAGCACACTCCACATCAGCACTCAGAAATGAAACACAAAGAAATCACTGAAACCTATACAAGAAATTACCTCAAATGTGAATTATAGGATCAATTTTACAAATGCCTCGTCGATATTTTTTCTATGGTCACAGCATGTACAAAAATATCAAATGCATAACAAACAGTGGAATCACCAAGGTAGGTGTAGAGTGCCATAGCCCTCATGAGCTAGCAAAAACTCAATACCAGAGCCTCTTTTGGAGTAGACGTGACTCGAAGAATAGCCTGAGCACTCAAAGGTGTCAGCTTCGCGTGGCAAAAAGCCTCCCAGGAATCAGCATCCACCAACTCAAGAGAATCTTCATTTGGAGAGACATGAGAATTAACATATATGGTTTGCAGTTGCATGGCAAGTGCCCGAGCAGCCTCCCTTGATTCAGGAAGTTGGTCGCTGAGTTGAGATGCTGCGATTTGGATAAGCTTATCAATTCCATATGCTCTAATTCCCTCCATGCCCTGTAAAGAACAAATTTTCTCCATCAAACATTAATGCTATGCAAATTCAAAGTCACGTAAGAATAGGTTAATGCAATAGCATATGCATACCAATCATGACAAGGTTTCTGCACCACATGATCAAGGTTGCTATCATGTGCTTGCTACATGATTGAGAACACTGAAATAAGTTATCACCTATGTAGTTTGACTCATAAAAGTACCTTCTTTCAAACCCATCTTCTAATATCAGTCAACTGCATAGTTCAATGTAGAGCCACATCAACCTTGTTGCTGTCTCATATCACAGGCTTCCAGCAGAAACTAACAAATAACAGACTTTTTTCTCCTGGTTATTATCCTTAATTTTGTTATAGCTGTATGCCCTTTACTGGTTCATATAATAGGCTTCTAGCAAATTTTCTTTTTTTCTCATGGTTATTTTCCTCAAATCTGCAAAAGCTACAAATCAAATCGACCTTTTCTTAGTTAAGGAACGCTGTAATGAGAAACGTACAACACATAACTGATAATAAAGCCCACACGAAGATCCCAAGAACAAATCTTTTGAAGAACATTCAATCATAGGCTAAAGTTTGCTCTTCTCATGGTCTATAGACACAACACAACTCAAAATTCCTTCATGGGGTGTTGACAAAAGTCATCACTGCAATATAATCTTTGTGGGATACAGATCACTTAGTTATTAAGCTTGTTAAATAACCAGAAGAGACACATTAGTTTATAAAATAACTACTTCATGGGTTGTTTCTTTTCTAAATGAGATAAATTTGACATTCCATAAGACTTAATTCAGTTTATCTAAGACTTCTCACATCCAGTTAGAATCTAGAGGACCAGAATCAACTTATTGTCTTTGAATTAATAATTCAAACAAAAAGCTAAATCTGATTAAAATTTACTTGGTGTCTTGAAGGTAAAGTTCTTCTAGAGAGAAATTTCAACAATATATTCACACCCAAACTTACAAAATCTAAAATATAAATTAAATATCCCACAGCTGGTAGTTGGACCAATCAGCAACTGTGATTCTGGAAGGGTAGAAAAGTTCTTACAAGTCGAGGTACACTCCTGCTAAAACACATAGATGCTTTTGCTCGTATTCGAGGATTTCTGTTTGTAAGATGAGGCAGCAACTTTGGCAACAATAGCATTGGAGAGATCCAAGTTGTCATTGCTATTAGAGCTGCCTCAGCAGCTTCACATACAAAGCGCTTGTCTTGAGAGGATTTCAGTAGCAACTGGACAAGCTGAAGAATGATGTAGAGATGTTTTAGAGTATTTAATACATGGAATCAGCAGAAGATAAAATAACGGAGAAGACTAGTAACGGAACATACCAGGGGATCAAATGAGTCAATAACCATATCATTGTAAGCCTTGAATATGTCAGCAGATGCCATGATTGCAGTTTTGCAGACAGCACTCCTGGGACTTCTCAGTGACTTCACAATAAGTGGTATCACAGCTCGTCTATAATAAAAATTTTTGGAAAAAGCAATGGGTAGGAAGATGATAAATGTCAGCTGACCAATGATTAATCTCTTATTTATACCAAAAAATGACTTCAGTCTATGATGATCTTTACATTGGATAAGATTAGTAAACTTACATGATTTCAAGCAGCCTTTCCTTGTAATATATTGACAATTGGCGCACATTATTGAGTGCTTCGCATACAGAAACCCAGTCTTTTGAGTCCAACCTAGCTAACAGTGTCTTCATAAAACAAAACAATGCCAGGAAGTTTAGTTTACATGTACTTCAGTATACCCATGTTGAATATGTTGGTATACTAGAAAATAATAAATAAACAAGAAACTGTGAGGACCGGAATGTACATTAAAACTTGCATCCACATCTGGTAGATCTGCCAGATTTTCAGACTCGATGTACTCAACTTCTGTATTTCCTGTCTCTAGTCCGTTGCTTCCTGCATCACCAATATTTATAGGAGCAGAGAAAGGGGAAGAACTTTTTTTCTGCAATTCAGGACCATTGTCATTGATATTTTCAATGTACGACTTGGTTAAACTTCCTTTGCCCAATGCAGTATTCTTATCGAATCCAGTTGCTGGATGTACATTGAGATCTCCGAGGGTTTTTCCTGACATTTTCAGCTTATCAATCTGAATGAAGAAAATCTGTTAAGAATCAGATGCTACAAAATCAAGACTACATCCACTGCATTGCATGGAAGTAATGTGGCATACATGTGAAATAACTAGATTATATCTCACAATCAGTATAGGCTGTTCGAGCCCAGGTAAATTCTAAGTTGTAAACAGCCAAAAATATCACTTAAAAAATCAGTTGCCACTAAAAGTGAACTAATTGCACATGAGAAATTCACAAATGTGACAGCAAAATGAACAAAGAAAAGTACAGGTAGTTCTTTTCTACTTTTTGGTACAAATGAAAAGGGACGGCGAGACTTAAGTCTATGCAAATTCTTATAAGAGTGTCTCTGGTTTTTTAGCATAGACACAGGTTCTCTACAAATTCCTTACAATCTTTTAAAAGCTTAAGAGAGGGTACCCCTTCTCGCTCTATTCCACATGGATATTGGGTTCAGCCATCATTGAGTCTGCAGTGAGGTAGTGTTGATTATACTCTTTCGCATGATGCCTATGGAAGATGATAGTGACTTCCATCATTTGTAAGCAGATACGCAGGAAGTTTGGAAGAAAAAAAAATTAATATTTTCCCCCTAGATCTTTGCCAGTCACACTGCTTAATATAGTATTTTAATGACAGATTCTGCATGTGCACCTTTGTAAATTGAAAGCATCATTAGAAAGGAAATCAGATGAAATGCCCGAATCCAAGTCACACAGGTCTCTGTCTCACATCTAGGCCTAATGTTTTATGTTTGCCCAGAATCATTTAGTACAGTAATTCGGTTAGGGATAACCCCATTAAGAGGAAATAACTATTGCTTTCTGTGGAATTCTGTCATTCAGTACTAGTAGTGATTAAAAAATAGATATAACACTATAAATCTAGAACAACACCGACTAACAAAGTATCAGCAGTTGATCACATGTATACCAGTATCAATCGCAAAAGTGTCCAGAAAACACTTGGGAGATGCAGACACATCTTCCACTACCGACATTCTAACTCGGAAACAGTGAGATCTCAAAATTTCAGAAGAAAGACTTCGTCTTTCTTTTGAGATCTGAACTACCTCTCCTAACCAATGACTCCAAATGGCGCAAGATCACAACGATTTCTCACTGTAGGGACCTTCACCAGACTCTGACATACAGAGGAAAGATGAAGCACCAACAACCGTTCTCCCTAGAAGCTCTTGCGCCCACCCCAACAACAGAGATCCACGCAAGATTCAATGGTAAAATCAGAAAGAAATCAAGAACAAAAAATCGAAAGAAAAACCTACAACAAGAAGAACGGATCACGAAGAGATCTTGTAATTCGAGAGAGGAGGAACAGGCAAATGGGGTCAGGGACCAATTCAAGAAGACCTTTCAAGAACAAATACAGACCAAATCCAAGTCTTTCCACCGCTTTAGGGTTGCAAAACCACACAAGATTCCACTGAAGCAGAGGACAGTGAGAGAAGAAGAAGAAGATTACCGGGCGAGGGAGCGAAGACGGCAGGCAGAGCGGAGGAGCGAGCGGCGTCGTTGGGTGGTATGTTTTGGGAGTATTTAAAGCTTCGCGAGACCCAATAAATATTGCTCCTACCCATTTTTCCTTTGCCCTTCTCGCTTACCCGCCATGCGACGGCAACGACCATTCTGCGGGTCCCACATGGATCCGATATTATGGCCAATCATAAGGCGAACGGGTGTTTGGGTAAATGGTGAGGAGGAAGCGATCCGCGACTTAAAGGAGGCCAACTATTTCTGCCATATAAAATGCGGAACGTTTTAATGAGGGCCCCATCGACGACTGGACCACCTCGCGTTGCTGTCTCGGCGAGTGACGGAGACATACCTCTCCTTTCGTAACCCGCTCGACCACCTGCACAGTTATTGGATAAAATTATGGGGCCCGATGTAATCCACGTAGAGGCCCTCGACGTGACCGTGGGATGAACAGGTGCCGGAAGGATTAGCATTATTGGAGAGAGAGCGACGACCGACACACCTAAGGCGGGCCCCGGCGTGGCCCACGGTTGTCTCCAATCCATAAGCAGGTTGGTGAACCGGGTGAGACGTAGACTCGAACGCTCGCTGGACGCCTGCGACCGCCGCATGCGAATGCGACGCTCCCTCTCCTTCATCGCTTCTTCCCTTCTCCGTCGCTGCTTCTTCTTCCTCCTCCTCTGCGTCACCGTGAGGAGACTCAACACCGAACATGTGCTGTCTCTGAGTTGCACTAATACGATGCACTAACCACCATCGACTGTTTGATGGTCATATCTGTATCACGCGAATTCTCGTGGATGCAGTTTGGACGACCAAATGACTTCAAACTTCACTTGGGTTATTGATTAAACTAAAAACACTATAATCGATCATATCCAAAAATACTATAATACAGTCTTAATTAATTCATATTCTCATAAACATCAATTATAGAGTTATTTTGTCATATTTCAAAATAAAGGATAGAAAGTTCTTATTTTTATTACATAACATCTTTGAAAAATCTTATATTATTCATTAGAAAGATCGATAATAAAAAATTATGAAAGTCTTGACATATTTCAAAATAAACAATGATAAAAATTATTTTTTTCACTTTGGCTTAAATTTATGTCTAATTTTTTTATAAAAAAAATCCTTATAATGTTTGTGATCATTTATTACGAACGAATGACAATAAAAATAATAAAATATTATCATGAAGCTACAATAATAAAAAATATCATAACTCGATTCAAAAATATTGGGTTTAACCCAAACTATATTTTAATAGGAAACTACTTTTTTTTTTTCCTGAGGATATTTTCATAGCTTTCTTTGAAAAATATTGAAATGATGGGCGTAAACCCAAAGTGTAAGGCTTATCCCGATAAATCATCGAAAAAAATATTTTATCATTACTACATTTATGATGTTGAAATTTTTATAAAGTGATCTTGAAATAAAAAATAAACAAGGAGAAAAAGAGAATATAAGCTATGGTAATGGTGATATCCATTAAGCTCTACTTCAAGTTCGTGTATCGATGGATCTTAATGAAAATCCATTAAGCTAATTTGATTCGATGCGACGGATTAGCACTCGTAATTATTATGGTGGATTTCATAAGCTAATATCATTGACAAAGGACGAAAATATAATAGTGTGGTGGATATATATGCTAAGGATGAATTGAGATCGATTTGGAATGTGAAAGGTAGTGGATAAAGAAGGTTTGGTTACCGATCTAATCCACTCCAAAAAGGCGAAGTCACAATGGCTATTTTGAGCCAATAATGAGACGAAGTATCTGACTTGCTACCAACCATTAAGTTGTTAGCTTGTCATATTCATGTGCATCAAACATGCCGATCATGATACTTCAACACTCTACTCTTGGAGGGGAATGATTACATTTTTATGTTTGATGTTCTTCACTTATTGGTTGTGACATCAATGATATGCGCAAGTCTAAGGACCCCTTGTGAGGACAAGTTTCCTAACAACTTTCATTGTTTAGCTCAAATCTCCGTTGTATTTTAAAGAATATCATAAAAATTTTTAGACAAATTTTTGAAAAAAAAAATATTTTTTAGGTTTTTTGGAATGTACCTCTTTTATATTCTCCAAAGGATATTCTATCTCTGAAATGTCTTAGCATCGATCCATATAATATAATGAACGATTAAGTTCTTCGGTTATAATATTTTTTTAATAGACTTATAATATTTTAATAGAAGTGTGAAAAAACACTATGAATGATATAGAAATCACCCTATTTAGTTGCTCTTTGTTACTAAGATAATAAAAATACTTATTTGAAATCTTATGTTTGTAAATGAGTTAGTTTCTATTAACTTTTTAGCTTATTTGTCTCTGTTAGAATATTTTTGAGTAGATTTACAATAGTTTTGTGTGAAAAAATTATAAACCTATTGAAAAATACTATAACTAATAGTATATATGTAAGTTTGTAATATATATATATATATATATATATATGCTATGTTTTGAACAAAGAGCTAAGAAATACAAAATATATACGATTCACCTTAGTTTAAAGTGTGCTTTAAGATTTGTGCAAATGTGATGAGATTTAATCAATCGCATGGACTAGTGTTGGATTTGTGAAATTGGTTGAGCCACTTTTGATTCACAGTCCAAACCTATTTCGAGGTCTATTTCGAAATAGATTAAAATGAGCCCTTGATCTCGTATTCCACCTATTGATTTTGTTTAAGTTTTCGGCTAGGTTTCTAAATGCTTCCCCGTATAGGTTTTTCACTCTAGTTGGTTACATGTTGTCAAGCTTGAGTTCTCACTCCAAACACTTGTTACCAAGAAGTTAATAACATGACCTAATCTAATGAGATAAGTGATTACTAGCCAAAATACTTAAGATAAAGTTAATAGTAATACTATTATCATACATTTATAAGTCAATATTAGTCTTGTTCACTTTCAGTACGAGACTAGTTGGAGTGTTATAAACAATCCCACTTAAGCCTAGTGGTGGCTCTATGTCAAGTCCTCTAACTTTATCGACGGATAACTCTTTCCTACTCAAGTCCCTCACCATACTCCGATACTAGATCGGTTCTGATACTAATTATCACGACCTGACCTGATGGAATAATAGAGATACCAACTTCATTTTACCCAAACCACTGATCAAAATACTTAAGATGAAATTAATATGTACTCTCATTAAACTCATATAAGTCAATCTTAATATTTTTACAGTATTACATAAAGAGTTTGAGAAGAAACTAAGAGAATGTTCGTGAGCTCAGTTATATCTCATAACTATTATTATGTTTTTTATTCATTTATTTTTCTCTAACTCCATAAATCTTAAAATTAGTCTATAACATGAATCAGACCCTAATTTGGTATATATGAGATATAGGAATAGATCAACGTTGATTCTACATAGTAGCATTCATGTCAACTCCATTTAATTAATAATAGTATACCTATCAAATCCTTATAAATTAATGCTAATATTAGCTCACTTTCGATAAGAAGTTAACTAGAGTATTAGACCATCATTAATTTTTTATTTTGAGACCATTATTATCTTTATTATTTATTGTTTATATATTTCTTTACTATTATTATGGAAAGATATCATTGACATCTTAGTCAGCCTGATATGATTTTGACTCGTGTATGTATGGTTGTTTGAGATGTCTCCGAGATAAAAATGTCAAACTCCCAATATGCTACCTACACAAAGATTGAGGTCAGGAGAGGCTTCTCTATCCGGTCCCTCTCATGCCCAAGTTAATAACCTAAGGAAGATAAGTAGTAAAAAATGATCTCCTTGACAACTTTGCTAAAAGTGAGTATTTATACTTGGTTGAAGGTGAAATATCCTGTGGGTAGGCAACGCTTTGTCATCCTTAATAGCATATATTTGTCTTTTTGTCTACGTAAACAATAAAGGAGGAGGCAGCCCACAATTATCTACTTTGGACTCATGTCCATGTGGGCAAACAAAGAGGAGGCAAATTTTATCTATGTGGCCGACACAACTATCACACATGTGAACATATATCGAATGATCATAGTCTTAATATTCGCCCCTATCATTTGTCCCCCTTAAGGCATACTTCAAGAGCTCTTGTAAAAGAGACCTAAAGTGTCTCGTATGGGTTATCCAACATATTAAGTTTATTCTTCTCTGATTGATTCTCCGATTGTATGTATCGAGTGGATGCTGACGAGGGTCAGAGACACCCGATCTCTAGACATCAAGAGAAAACACTTATTATTCTCGACAAGCAACTGACTAGGCACCACCTCATGCATATCTATGGTTTAGGCTGGCAGCATCTCGATTTGAAGCCAGCCACCCTTCATAGCCCGGGTTGATGCTAATCTGGCAAGCATGTTGCTTGTGTTCTCTTCACGGAGAACTTGCAACACCTTAAGTTGACAAGGTACTTTGCCATGGTTATATCTCGAACTTCGTAGTTTCCATTCACTTGGTTCACGATCAATTATGAGTTGTCGAACATTATTAGATCCTAAGCTCTTGGGTGAGTCGAATCCCTGAGAGAAGTGCCTCGTACTTGGCTTCATTGTAGAAATTTTGAACCTAAACTGAAGAGCTTGCTCGTACACTTGTTTGTTCGAGCCTTTCAAGACGAGTTTGGTGTCGCCTCCTTCCGAAGTGGCGAAGTCATGCATGAACAATGTCCATATAGGTGAGGTGTGCTTGTCGGCCTCAGATAAAGGAGGAGCCAATTCTTTCTCTTTTCATTAATGAGGTTTTCATTACGTGAGGGTGTCTTACGAGTACTTCTCTTTTATCTGTAAAAAAACTTCAGTTATAGTCATATTTAAGGGGGTCAACTTAGAACTTAAGCAAAGTAATTAGGGTTGTTTATTTTTCCTCTATTAAGGTGACATCGGGGTCGGGGCTGGCTGTGCCCACTCCTACTTCGGCCTCTTACATGAGTCTTCACATTTGCTCGAGACTATTACCTTAGCAGTAATGTATTAATTGGCCTTTTTGAGTACCTCGGGTATAATTATTGATGATCTCTCTATCAATGTTCAAAAGAGATGAGAGGGCCTCAGCCCTATCATAGAGGTCAATATTATGAGTGATGGATAGGCATCTGCTACACCTTGGATCTCATTTGTGAACTGAGCGATGAAGTCTGCGAAGGTCTCCTCCTCTCCTTGCTAGAGTTTAAGGAGTGTTGCCGTTGAAGACCGAGGATGAACGTTCTCAAGGAATTGTAGCTCAAACTCTCTCGCTAGCTAAGTGAAAGAGCAGATAAAAAGTGGCTTCAGACAAGTGTACTATTCTCATGTTGAATCTCTTAGCGTGGTTGGGAAGGTGCGAGACATTAAGATATCTAAAGTATCATATAGAGACATTTGGGTGTGAAAAGTTATATTGTGCTCCATCTGATCAGCATTTTTGTCGAACACCTTCAAGGACGGGAGACAAAAGCTGTAATGTGCTCCATTGGATTTTTTGGGTTAATGATGATTGATTCGAGGTAGGGTTAACTAGCACTTCCCCTTTTGACTGATAGAGCTCTCGTCACACCTCCTCCAAACATTGATTTATCTATCATAATTAGACCAATAGGGAATCCTTCGTTGAGTTCGCTGATTGGGCCTTGGATTTAGATGGGGTAGATTAAGGGTGGTGCGATCCATTGAATTCTGTGGTTTGAGACCGAAGTGCCTCCTCGACCAATGGTTTAATAAGCCTCAGGGATGTCGGCACTACATCAGGTTAGGGAATCTCGATAGGTGGTAGTGGCAATGGAGCTGGAGACTATGGTTGAGCTAGTGGCATCGTTTGTTGGGCCAATTGGGGCAAGAGCGAAGTGATTACTTGTATCATGCTTATTAACGTTTATATTTGCTAAATAAAATTTAAGAATATCTTGATAAGAACGAGTAAGTAGCTTAGGGTTGTCCCTAGGGGTGAGAGACTAGGGTCATTGAATAGACGTTGATATCTCATCAGTTTTTGTATCAAGGTAGTTGCATCAATATGTGGAAAGGGTGGTTACTCCCCTCTTATGTGAAAGTATTGTGGGTTAAGAGTAAAACCTCTCCGCTCAAACAAGCATTCCAACAACTGAGTCTTCCTTCTAAAGCCAAACATATTACATATTACATAAATATGTAATTAATGTCCTGATCAACTTGGCTATGACCCATGTGCATAAAATTATCTAAAGTAAAACGTCGAGCTCTCGAGATGCCACCTACATAAAGATTGATGTCACAAGAGGTTTCTCGATTCAATCTCTTTAACACCTAAATTACTAATACGAGGAAGATGAGTAAGACGATGAGAAGTAAAAAATGATCATTCTATAACTATACTAAAAATAAATTTTTATATCTAACCATAAAGGGTAAAATGTAATGTGAAAAGATAGTTTTTTTTTTTTTTTAGTAGATAGTCCTTAACCGTCACAAAGGATCTACCTTTATCCCGTTACGGAGACAAGGTGGTGGAAAGTTATGTCAACGCCACTAACATAGCTGCCACGCATGGACTGCAGTTTTCCTTCGGACTCGGGTGATTGCCGAATTGAACTGCCATTGTTCCAGGCAGAGATGTATTAAACTAAACTGGTTGTATGAGTTAATGATCTTCCCTGACAAGAACATATGGCCACAAATCTGTTATTGTGTGTATATATATAAGCATGTAAGGTCCCTCATGAATGCTCATTCTACATAATATAATTCACATCATCTAATAACTAAGTTGGTGCATGTGCATGAGCATGTGCATGTGCATGTGCTGAGCATAAACCAGGCACATGCGTTCTTGAAGAAATGAGTTCAAGCAATGGCCAAGAAAGGATCCATACACACAACATTTAACTCAAGATGTGAAGAAATGTTTTTTTTTTTTTCTGGTTTATAATTCACAATTTTTTCATATGAATTTTTATTTGAATAAGAATGTCAGCATCAATCATAGCTGGAAACAAAAGGCTATTAATCTAATGTGAGCCTGCAAAATCCATAAACAATAATCCAAAGCCCTCATAAGAGGAGCATATACATAAATAAAACACAAATGAAACTTCAACAATTTTGCTTACCTGGTAAAGATCTTACTGGATCCTTGGGATCAAATCCTGCCTTCATCACTTGCCTTTAAAATAAAAAAAGAAAACTTTGTAACTATGAGAAATGGAGACCAAGGGATATCATTATTTACATATAACTTCAACTCATAAATATATGTAAATGGACATCCTTTCTTGAAGATTATCATTAGAAATGGCATTATTTATACCTAGGAGAAATATATACTGATAAGAAACCTTTTGAGTAGTGTCATGACAGCAGTAAAATGCATTCTTAAACAACTGAATTGCATGTAAAAAATTGACATCAAACCTCTACTTGTATATTTTCTGCTGGGGTCGCAAGTGAAAAAAAATCCATAAACGAAAGATAGATTAGACTAATTAAGATCAAGTTAGTGTCTTTTTGTTCATCAAATATTACACAAAGAATATACCTATAAGACAAGTTATCGAGTTCAAGTTGATCCTGCCTCATAAAACAAACATTCACAGCAAGGGCAATAATGGAGGTTCTCTCTCTTTTCAATTCTCTCTTGGCAAGTTTGGTCAGCATAGACATGGTATTCTGTACATTTAGTATGCACCTTTATGGCAAAAAGGGAGAATGTTGACCCGCTTAATAGCTTTCAATTTGTCCAATATACAATTTAATGATGGCCATGAAACAAAAAGTAATTTATACACATTCAGACTGCAACTTGACAAATACAACAAGTTAAGAGTAATTTAAACAGTTTCCTGGCACGATAAATACAGAAATTTAGGTGACTCACCAACTGAGCAAGTTGTCATCACACAAGATGCCTCAAGATCCACCATCGAAGTAGTTAGCCAACTAAGCAAAATGTTTGACTACGTGGCATGAGTATCTTGAGATCAGAATTCTTTATTATTCTCCAGATGACAACACACTAGTCTTTTGATCTTCAAAGAATGAGGGAATATTCTCATCAGAACAGAACAGTAAGATATGTTCATGTCAACTAGACAGCCTCTTTTTTCTTTTCTCTCTTTGAGGCTTTCGTTGAGCAATGACACCATAATTCGATGATGTAAGAGTGCTGTGGTTCTTAGGCGAACAACAAATTTGAGAATATCACTCTGATGAAGACATTGACTGCCACAACATGCCAATGGCTGCTGCAGTATTTAAGAAATGGATTACAGTGCATAGTAACTACCAGTCACTATATACATTACTTTAAATTCCAAAAGAATACATACTGATGTTATTTAGCAGCTAGTGAATCACTACAAATAGCAGGTATTGCTCAAGAATCATTCTAAGCATATTTTTTTAAGCAACAAAAATCATAAAAATGAGGTCATGATAATCATATTAAGCACTTCATTCAAAGTTTCCATGGATATGATAAGTTTGTTGTCTTGGACCTATCATGATTCATTAAGGTTACCCAAAAATATTGCATTTGGGGCAAGGACCACAAGATTAGAAATATAACCAACAACTGAAACCACATGTCCTGCCTGTTGACAGCCACAATGATCAGGATAGCAAGTCAGCAATATATGGTCAAGATTCTATCTTTTGTAGGTCCAAGGACAAGGGACCGGATCAGATTGCTAACTCTAATGAACACACCCCACCGAAACCTCAATTCCTATATCCAGATCACTAAGGAGGATTAAGCTTCCACACAACTTGAACCAATCCATCTGGCTAAGTCTTCCAGAGATGAACCCAAGGGGCCCTAAGTGATTGTTAGAGAAGCAATGGCAGGCTGATCACTCTTCACAACCTCACAACCAATGACATCAACACTGACAACACAATCAAGTCCATAAACCATCTCTAACTTGGGAGTTCACCTGAAGAGAAACTGAGTTGAATCACAAGGCACCAAAAGCACCTCTAAAAGCTTGAGTTGATCACCTGGAAAGCAACGGGCAAAAGCCAGACACTGGACTCTCATAGTCAGCCTGTCATGATCTGGTTCGATAAGATAACTAATCTACTAACTTGATAGGCATGAATCACTAACTCAAAATGTCTAAATCCAGGTTAATAGTAGTACGTCCATCGAGCTCTTACAAGCCAATTCAAATCATTATCGACTTCTGATGTGAGACTATACTTTAGGGTCCTATGCAAACAACACGACAAGAAGAGACTTTACACCTAAGAAAAACTAATAACGTAATTGCAAGTCAAAGGTGATGAAACTAAAATACCAAGCAATAAGATAACATCTTTCATGAATGTATTACCATCAACAGTATCAACCAGAAACAACAGGATATCATATTAAACAAGACTTTTCAAGGAATCCTCCGATGTAATTAATGATTGTTAGTCTAGGTCTTTTGATAGAAACCACAAAACAAAACATGAAATTCGTCATGCTACTGGATTTGTATGGTTTTAGTTTGACCTGCCTTAAAGGCTGCAACAAACAAAGATAAAAACCTCAAACTAAAGAATGCTAAAAGACCTCAAAATAAACAAACAATCTGCAAGACACTTGGAACAGAGCCTAACTAATCAAGAATGCTTTAAAGAAGTCAAAGATCAACTTCCACATCAACATAATGAAATTCATACTTAACAGGCTCATCAGTTGAACATGGAAATGTTTAAACAAAATTTCTTAAACTGCCTGCTAATCTTGACTTGTGCTTCCGATCAGGATAGACTCTGGAAAAACATTCTGCGCAAAAAAAAAACTCAGTAGTTTCATGAAGCTCTTAGTCAAAAACTGCAGCTAACATATATGAGAAAAATTATATATACCATCTGATTAGAGCTTTTATATGTCTTCTGTGGACATGTAGAATCCATCCTACATATTTGCTTCCTTATATGGAGAGATCCAATTCCAGATAACATACCTATGATGGAATTTCTAACTGGCTTTGTTCTGCTTCTCATATTCAAGTTACTATGTCCCCATGTGTACCTGACATATATCCTCAACTACAAAAATTAAATTTAGTAAGGGAATTAGTCTATGAGAAAAAAATTGTCAGTTAGGATGGCTAACTACCTTATCCCAGTGCTGCTGAGCACGCCTGCGTCTTCTAATATCCCGCATCTCAGTATCATCCATCTGCAGCTTCTTGATTCTGGATTCACACTATGATATCACAGTCAATTACTTCACCAAGGATGGTTACGTGAAATTGCGTAGGTGAATGGTTCTTATGCTAATTATTTATAAAGAATGTTGCCAGTCTAACATAAGAAAAATATGCTACTCCAAGGTGTCATTAGAGGAAAAAAACTTCAGTTAAACTTCCATAAAACAAATGTTAAATATCAAATAGTAAGTACAACAAAGTCTTACCTGATGTAAAAAATACAAAGAAATTGCAAGGGTAATGGTACAAAGGCCACCAACATCCGAAAGAAAAGCCACTGCATTCATCAGAAATTAACAAGTTATATTTGCTTTCAAAAATAAAAATGTGAGCATCTCATAATACTCAATAAACTTGGGGTTCAGACACAAATTAAACATCCAAAATAATGTGTTTGGTAGCATGTACTAACCAGCAAAAGGAACCCAAACAGGCCCAACATCATCTAGTTGTTGAACCCAAACAGCAAAAGGAACCCAAACAGGCCCAATAAAAATGTGAGCATCTCATGGCACATCATGAGTACATATGTGTAAACTCTTACTAACCAATCTGATCAATGAACCTAAAACTTGTTGAATCCGACCTGAATTCTAACTTGCTTCTGGAAGAACAAGATAAAATAAACGAGGCTTTCCTATGAAAGGAGCTAAAAAAAAAGATCGCTGATGGCAGGTAGCTCTGTAGTTTGTTAATTGGCATGGTAAAAGCTAACTGGCATAAGTTTTGAGCAAAACATTGGCACAATGTTCCATTTTCCTTATAAAATTCTTATAACTCCAATACGGAAGTTAGACCAAAGTTTATTCTTCACTTGATCCACAGTTTTCCCAAGTCATTTGGCCAGAAAATGGCTAACCTTTTGTCTTATGACAGCATTGCTGTAAATCAAACAGGCTTATAGAGAATAACATAAAATGTAAACCATAAAGTGCTATTGTAAATTTTGTAGTAACCAACTGAAAAGTAGAGCCCAACACTGTAGCCTTTAAGTGGACCATGTAGCAAGCAGAGTACAATTACAATGGAGGGCTAGTAAAAGCAGCATTTCTTACCAATCCCTAATATGTTTTCTTTGTCAATCTCCACAATGTAATCGGAGAGATAGCTGATGCATAATGTAGTATTTACTAGTCCATCTTTGGAACTTCGAAGAGAGGCTCGAAGCTTGTCAATCTCATAAAAAAATGAACCAGGAAGAAAATCATGAACCAAAGGCTGAATCAACCACAGATTATCTTTTAGATAGTCAAATTTCTGAGGGAACAAATGAATCTTCATGATATTGAGGTCTGGCCCTCGAAAAGTTACTGCCCTATTGTGCAAATAGCTCCCTGAATTTAGTGTGCCACTGACATAGCTCACATGTCTGTTATCATTATGGGCTTTGGCTGAAAGATTGAACTGAAAACCAACAGCAGCTGCAGGATCATCAGGAAGGTCAACAAACTGCCATGAAATATAGTGGTCACCAGTTGGAATCTGACAATTGTTGCATTTTAGCGATACAGTGGGTCCCCAGGTTGTGTTGTAACAAGAATAGTTTGCATAATTTGATAAAGGGAAAACTTTGCAGTCGATAAAACCTGGAGTCCCAATCACCAATTTATCGAGGCCTCGCATATGTGAACAACTCATGCTAGAAACCGTAGTTATATTAAATTCAAAACTGATGAATGATTTCAGATCCGTAGCATTGCTTGGTCTGACTCTGTGAACCTCAATGCTTCTTCTTGCGATAAGTTGATAAAGCAACCTGCAATGATACAATGTGAGTAACCATGTTCTCTTCTTTTCCCTTCTCTTTTTCTTCTGAAAAAGAGAAACTAGATTTTTTTTTTCCTAGGGGAGATAAAGAAAGCACATGAACAACAATCAGAGCATAAATCCTGTTAATCACTCACGCAGATAAAAGACCGATGAACAAAATCCAGCTCACTACAGACAATGTCCCACCCAGCTCAGATTTTCTCTTTCTCACAACCTTGTTATCATCCTACAAGCAAAAAAGATATATTAGTTGAAGTCACTCCTCCGAACTACTGAAGTGTTCCTGTTTTCCAAGAAAATGTCCAGATTTAACTACCATGCATGTCAAGAATGTAGAATGGTGAACACTCAAAAGTTCGATATTTTCTAGAATGGAGAGCAGAAGCTATAACAAACTAGTACAAATATGCAATGTATGCTTACGAACTTAGTAGAGTTATCGCATGGCGAGAGTACATTACTGGAATTGACATCCCTTTCAATGACTGAAGATGCTGGGCATTTAGTCGCCCTATAGGCACATTATGATCCATGATACGTGAACGAATGGGCTATGTATAGAGCACAACGGATCTTGCATTCAACTATTGTACATTACAAGGGATTCCTCCAGTCTATGATAGGTCAAGCTTCACTGACGCCCCCAAGATTCAATTTTTCTTTGATCTGCAAAACCTAATTACGGATAAAACCTCATTTATCCATTCGAATTTCACGAATACAATCATTTTAAGTTTTGAATATAGGGAAGAAAAATGGATAAATTTCAAGAAATCGTTCGAGAGAACAAAAAGTAAGAAGGGCGAAGGAACGGACTCCTACCGACCCGCGCCGTGTGGGCGGACGCAGATCCACCACCGCGCGCCGGAGCAAGTCCATACTCGACGGAGTCGAATGATAGCCCGGATCGCGCGTGGCACGACGACGAGGATGAGGCGGAGCCTCCGATCCCTTCCTGGAAGAGGAAGCAAAGAGCGAGCTAAGCATCGCTTCCCCCATCTCAAACTGAAGATGAACTGTAACGAAACCGTTATAACGAACAAGTTACAACAGAGTAACGGCGTTACCATCCTACAGCGTTAGAATAAATCGTTGCGATTTATTGACGGGACGTGAGGGTTAAAGTCAAAATCGATGTGGCATTGGAGATCCAAAGTCAAGTCAAAGGATATAAGCAGAGGACCAACACGACCACTTTGATGCGGGAGCGACAGCCTGATCCAGCGGTGCACCACAACCGCACAATCCACGTGCCCTTCTTTCGTACAATAATCACCAGAGAATTGGAATCTTAAAGAAGACATTCGAGGATTTCCTGTCTTCGGACCAACAGATTACCGCTCAACTGTTCCTTATGATTAAGACAGGTGGGACGGATCCCTGTAGTCTGTGCGTAGTCAATCCTATACCCTGCCCGGTCTCTCACAGTAAAACAAAAGGTTGGCAGGGAAGGAGGAGAAGGAAGCAGGGAAACGAACCCGGTCATGGTTGGTGGCGAACAAGTCCAGCTGAGCAACCGACCACCTAATCCGAAACCACACGGCCCGCCCGCCGTCGATTCTCCCGAGCCGGACCGCGACGCAGAAGGCCAGCCAGACGAGCGTCACCACCAGCACCGCCCTCAGCAGCGCGTCCTCAGACCGCACCATCCGCTCCAGCGACTCCAGCGGCAGCACCGTGTCGAGGAAGGGCCGCCCGGCCGGTCCCGCCCTGGTCCCCACCGTCCAGTCGCCGTCTCCCGCCTCGAACAACCTGCAGCCGCCGCTCCGGTCCCTGTAGTACCCGGGGTTGCACGCGCACAGCGTGGAGTCGTAGGCGAAGGAATTCTCCGGGCAGCGGATCGGATCCATCGCTCCGAAAACCCTCCTCCCGGTCGTGCTCCTTCTGCAGCGAAGGAGACGGAGGAAGAAGCGCACGCTTTATGGAGGAGGCAAAGAAGAGTGTGTAAGGAATAAGGCGGTGTGATGGCGGTCTCTTTCCGAGACGGTAAAGACGGTGGGGGGGGAGGAAAGAAGGGAAGCCGACGTGGGAGGGAATCGAGAGATCCTCCTCCGGGAGAGGAGTGGGGCCGAGTAGAGAGCTTGCAATGATAGCTAAGCATGCGCTGGGCGGCGCTGGACGACGATGAGTGGCTTCATGAGAACGAGCGAGCTGGCGTTGGTTGTGCCCCGGTTTCGTGGCGGGCGTGCGACATTCGATCCCTTATCCGCCAAACCATAATACTCCATGTGTTCCTGTGGACGTGAAGTCGAGGCAACCCCACCTAATCTATAAGACAGGCACCGCGAAAAAAGAGGTCGACGCGACGGGCTTCCATTGGTCCAATGCAGCGGGACCCACCCCAACCCCAAGCATTCGACTCCCTTTGATCTCTTTGCTTCTTTCCTCTTCTTTCGTTTCTCGGGGAGCAAGGCTTTGATATGGAATATGTGAATTTGAAATAATAAGGAAATTATGATTTTTTTTAATATTTATTTATAAATTCTAATATTTAATACTAAATTAGGATTAACGTTTTAGAAAATGTTTAAATTTTTATCATAAAATTATTTCATATAATTTGTTTTAAAAAATTAAAAAAAAAATTATTACATCAAATGGTGTATGAGACATTCACACGTCATCTCAAACCTGAAATCTTTTACTTATATAATATTACACTAATCAACTCGGATATCCCAATAAAGACATTCAACAAAAATTTTAAAGATTCATAATTTGGCATAAAAATATACATGGGAAAAGAAAGGATATATATATGTGTGTGTGTGCGCGCGCGCGCGAGCACGCACGCGCATAAATATGAGTTAAATACAAAATATAACTTTTGAATAAAAGTAATATCGATATAAAGTTTTGAATGATTTAAGATTAATAGTTATCAGTAAAAGATCATTAATAATTTCATTTAAAAATCAATTAGAAACTTATTTTTTTACACAAAATCAATTAAGTATTCTTTGAGACTTAATTAATGCTCTAAAAAAATTGTACAACACAACAAGAAAAACAAATTTAAACAATTAAATGGAATCATAGTTTTTGGATTAAAAAAAAGGTCTTTTTTTTATTAATAAAAGAAGTAACTATAATTATCCCTTTTTTAGTCTTCTTTTCTTGATTTGAGTATTGAAGTTTGAAAAAGGCAAATAAATAGCTCGGCAAATTGATGCCTTGATTCTTGCAAATCATTTGGCAGCTTAGTTTAGTGTTTTAAGACCTTAATTACAAGTTTAAAAGCAATTAGTCGAATAATTAAAGTTAACCCATTGTTTAGAGCAAAGAAACAAAGGTTAGACAAGTGCTTTACAGGCTATAAATATTCCACCAATTACCTCGACTTCCATATGCTTCAGTGCTGTCCTAGTAATTTGAGAATCCACCGAAAGATGTAGCAATGATGGGAAAGGAATATGAAAAGAGATGTCCCGTAATTTCTATGTGCAAAAGATAATGAAGCACCAAACCATCAACTCATGCAATCTAGAAAAAGGAAGGTGATATCAACATAAATATACAAAACCAGGCTATCCAACAACCCAAGGAATTAGAATCTAGCTAGTGAGGATTGACAGCACCACTCTCAAGTCACAAGCTGCAGTCCCACAAAGCTAAAAAGCAGGCTTCAAACTCTAAAAAGATTGATTCCCTCTCCTCCATTTGTAGTCTGTGCAACACTAAACCATGCATCAAAGATGAAGATATGGAAAAGAGAGAGAGAGAGAGAGAGTCTGAATTCATATCAGCAACTTCATAATAGTTATGTACATATATATGTCTCACAAAGTCACTCTTCTCTATATGTTGAGATATCGTAGGATATATGAAGTCTTAACCTGTTCTTTCTCCTCAGATCATGGACCGTAAGAAGAGGAAGAATCCACGATGCCTTGCATGAGCTCTACCTGCATGGTAAGGCACTTTATGTAGTCCGCAGTCTCCTCTAGCAAGGTGCAGTAGTCCATGCCTGCTCCTCCCGGCACCAGCTGTCGGAGGGCTTCCGCCCGGTTTCCGGCGGTGGTGCTCAGTCTTCTTGGAGCAACAGCTCGGCGTCGAGCCCGGTGGTGGAGCCTGCGAAGCACAGCCCGGCTCCAACCACGACCGGTGCCGGCCGAGTAGGCCATGGACGCATAGGCGGCGCGCTCTATTCTACGGCCTCGACAGGTGCGAGAGGAGGCGGGCGTCGTTCGGTGCACGAGGGAGAGGGCTCTCAGGAAGCGGAAGGCCAGCATGAGCTTGGAAGGGCCAAGGGTTGGATTAGGGTTAGGGTTGCCGCAGGCGGAGTTCTTGCTGTCCATGGCGGAATATATATAGGAAGAGAGGATAACAAGGACAGGAAATCCAAGGTGATTTATGGTATGGGTTGCTGTTCTTCCTACTCACAAGAAACCTCTACACCCCATGAACCAACAGATGCGAGTAATAGAGAAGTAGCAACAACAACAAGTACAGGTCGAAGAGGATTAGGAAGAGAAGAGGAAGGGATTAAGGGAGACGAGAAGGAGATTAGAGATACGAGGAGGAGGCTTTGGGACAAAGCATAAAACTCTATCTAGTTTAAGGAGGAGGTGTAATTGCGTGTGAAGCAAAGCCACATGGGTTTGACAACCGCGGAACCTAATCGACATGGGGCCTTGTGGCCGATGGGGGGGATGATCAGAACAATTATTTTCGTCATATTTGACAAGAGCTTGAAGATTCTTCGACTACATGGAATCATGTTCTACACATAACATAAAGATAAATAGACATCGAACAGAAGAAGAGTAGCAGTTCACATGGATGTCAATACCATACAGTCATCGGATCAATAACATATCAACCTAATGCGTGTCTCATGTCCGTCGCTTTTGGGTTGGTCTCATGTCCAAGCTCGAACGATCAACATCTCCCTCCCTCTAACGATGATGGGGAACCCCCAACTACTCCTGCGTTAGTTGACCGGTTCATGTCACGGGCGACAAAGGAGGAGGAACAGCATCTCGTGGCTCCCGGTGCGTCGTTAACTGCTCACGGAGAAGGATTTGTTTGGTTCCCATGGAATTTGGGATCATCTATCTATCTACCTATCTGTCTGTGAAGATTATCGGGAATTGGGATGTGGATGGATTTAGATTTGGCTGCCCGTGACGGCGACGCCGATGATCAGCAAAGAACATCGGTCTGCTTGCGAGAGTCATCTTTGGTGTTTCCAAGGAAAAGAGTCAAATCCCTCATCAGTAAAACCTGTCATGCATGTTGTAGAGATGCTTCTGTTCACCGAGCGACTTGAATCAGAAGGGAACAGATTGGGAGAGAACGATATATATGTCTCGTATCGAAGGTCAGGAGTTGTCCCCGGACAAACTCAGCAGCTGACAAGAACAACAGACAAGCAGTGATGAACGAACCATGTAAGCTGAAGCTTCAAAAGCTTGCACATCTGCCGCAGATGAACGAACCTTCCCAAATAGTTTGCTCAGCTACATGAATGATGTATCAGGGTGAGGGTGTTAGGACTAAGCTGTATAGATCGGCTGACACGCAACTAGATCGGGCCCTGAAGCCGTATGAGATGATGCGTAGAACACACCCAAGGAGATCAACCTCTCCAACAGTTTGTGTTGCTGCTAATGATGTGTAGCACAGATCCAAGGAGAACATGTTCTCTTCATGATTCTGCAGCTCAGCAGACTTCCATTGAAGGAGAAGACGGTGAACACAGCGGTACGGTGAATGGAAGAGAAGACGTCCATCACGCTTTGAGATGCGCACTCGTGTTCTGACCTATATATATATATATCATGTGCTTTGCTCGTGCTATTAAGTGGGACGGTTGAAGTGAGACGACTTCAAACGAAGGGCACGAGCGAACGGGTTAAGATTATTTACTTGGGTCCGACTCATGTCATTAGCGGATCGATTTGGGTCAAAGCGTTCACTCTTGAGCTGAGTTTTCAATACAAAACTGGGTCGGGCCGGGTTACATTGGATCCGCCAAGAAATGAGTTCTTGACTCGGATCCGACCCGCAACCCTTCGGCTCCGTCATCACATGGAAAGCGGAAGCATCCAGAAGGGCGTACAAGGGCTAAGAGGGGATGTGCCGACGTCACGATGCATAGACACGTAGACGCGATGGATTCGGACCCGCCGTTTGGCTCGGCCAATGGAGACGGAAGGCTACGAAGACGAGTACTGCCGTTGCTGCCGGCGACAGGAACACGTGTCAGATGATAGAAGACCGGATCTCCATCTTACATCGAGTGGGTTGACACGTAATATCGAGCGCCGCCTCGATCACACACGTCGGCAGTTGCTTCGGGTGGTCGCATGCAACCACCGGGAGAGAGAGGTGGCCGGCTGACGCACCGCGGCTCGGTGCCACTGAGCTCCCAACGCCTGGCCGACGTTGTGTGGGCGCACAATTCGGAGCTTAGGCTCTTCTCTACCATACCACTCTCATGTGAGCAAAGCATTTAGTTCTCAGTTATCGTCTCCTCTCCTTTTTAAAGGGGCAAGCAGAGGTGGAAGTGACAGGAACAAACAAGCGAAAGCGATGTTATGGTGCTCTTCGTCACTTTTGCGTGAGGAGTAGTATGAGAAGGGAGAGGAGAGTGGGAGGAAGGGTCGCTTTCCTTTCTATGACTACTGTTTTCTGCCTCCTCGGAGAAGGCAGCAATTGCTGTTACTGTCACTACAAATCTATCTCCGGGCCCATGCCCGTGCACTCCTCCTCCACCTCCGCCGTCGGCTTCTAAGTGCGGTTCGCTTCATCCTGGTGCATGTAAGTTCTCTTCAGAGTACTATTATGGAGCGTAAGAGTAAGCGAAAACAGAGAGAGGAGCTGCGGGTTCCGAAGGAGGTAGATAAAACCATGGCAGATCATGAGGTCGAAGAAGAGGAGAAGATGTTGGCAGGGTTTGATGCTGCAGGAGATCACCCAGGAGTGGATGAGATCGTGTTGGATATGGACGGAGAGGATCTCATCTTCGCCGAGGATACCTTTCCTTCCTTGCCTGACTTCTCGTGCCTCTCTTCACCATCGCCTTCCACCTTGCATGCCAAGAACACAGTCCTGTCTCCCTGTTCTTCCACATCTTCCACCTCCTCCTGTTGGTCCTTCTTACAGGTTCCTTACGGCGGCAGGGTCGCCGATGTGCAGCAGCAGCCGGCGGAAGCTGCATCGGTCGACGACATGATGATGCTCGCACCGCCAACGTTAGAATTCCTCGAGTCGAGCGAGTTCAGCTCCGACGGGCTCGACATCCTCGGTGACATCGACCTCCTCGATCTGTCGATTGATCCCTGGGAGCCGTGTTCGCTTTTCCATGCCGGCGAGTCCAGTACGGCTGTCGATAACGGCAGTGAGGCCATCGTTGATCGTGCGATGCAGCCGTGTCAAGTTGCAGAAGAAGCGAGCTCCGAGGGCCACGGCGAAGGAGTGCAGCAGCGGCAGCAGTTGGAGGACACTTCCTCGGATGAACTGGCGAGGGTTTTCTTGGACTGGCTGAGGAGCAACAAGGACTCTATCTCGGCGGAGGACCTTCGGAGCATCAAGCTGAAGCGCGCCACCATCGAGTGCGCCGATCGCCGCCTGGGCCGAACTAAGCATGGCCGGATGCAGCTGCTGAAGCTGATACTGACCTGGGTGCAGAACAGCCATCTCCAAAGGAAGCGGCACAGGCCGACATCTTCCGACGATCACCAGCCCCGGCCGTTCCCCAACAACTGCAACTGCAGCACAGCCGATCAGAACCCTGCGGCATGGAACCCCAACTCCACGGATCCTGCCGCCGGCTCTACGCATCCGTCGCTACTCGCTGCTTACGGCATCGCCAACGGGGAGATGGCGTATCCTGGTGCAACAGCACCTTATCCTTACCCCCACAGCTGCGGCACCAGTAGCGTCGTCGTCAACAGCCAACCCTTCTCTCCGACGCTGGACTTCGTCGACCCTAATGCGGGGCCATGGTCATCGCAGTTAGCTTCAGCCTTGCCGTCCATGGTGCCGCCGCAGTATTCCGGAGGGTACGCCAACCAGTTTCTCGGTCATCCGATGTACCACCAAGGTCAACACCTACCCGGTTTGGCTTCGGCGACGAAGGAGGCGAGGAAGAAGAGGATGGCGCGCCAGCGGCGACTCGCTTCTCTCCATCACCACCGAAATCATCATAACCAGAGCCATCTGCAGCATGCTCATCCTCATCTGGGATCCACTGAAGGTGCTGCAAGGAACTGGGCTTTCTGGACCAATTCCTCTTCGTCGTCGCACAAAAGGAACCACTTGGCCGAGACGCAGACACCGCCTCCTGCGGCTCAACCGCAGCGGAGGTCTCCGCACGGTGCAGCTTCGACCTCAGAGAAACGTCAGGTCCTTCCTTGGTTCGCTAATGGCTGCTGACTATGACTTTCGAGATCGAAGTGGATCCGAACGTGTTGATGCTGGTGCAGGGATGGAAGGGCGAGAAGAACTTGAAGTTCCTGCTGCAGAAGGTGCTGAAGCAGAGCGACGTGGGTAGCCTCGGCCGGATCGTGCTGCCCAAAGTGAGCCAACCTGGACATGGTTTGAGTAGCAGTCGATTCTTCCATCCTTCCATGAATCTTTTAGATGTCATCATGATCAGTCCAACACCTGTCTTCTTCTTTGGATCAACAGAAGGAAGCGGAGACCCACCTGCCGGAGCTGGGCGCAAGGGACGGGATCTCCATCCCGATGGAGGACATCGGGACCTCCCAGGTGTGGAACATGCGCTACAGGTAGGTGACAACCTCGCTTCATCTTCGCAATGCATGCTCGTCTCTTTTGCTGACATGTCTGCTAATGCTGCAGGTTCTGGCCGAACAACAAGAGCAGGATGTATCTCCTGGAAAACACAGGTGAATACGAGGAGGTCTTCTTCTTCTTCTTCTTCTTCTTCTTCTTCTTCTGCCACTACTAATACGAGGAGGATGTAGGAGATTTTGTGAGGTCAAACGGGCTGCAAGAAGGGGACTTCATCGTGATTTACTCCGACGTCAAGTGCGGCAAATACGTAAGGCATACGCACATTTGCTCTCCAGATCTTAAGGCCTGTGCTGCTGCAACCCACATCCTCATACGGACACTGTTTTGTGACAGATGATTCGGGGAGTGAAGGTTCGACAGCCGGCGGAGGCAGCAGGAGCACCGAGCGGCATGAACGCTGAGAAGAAGGCACATCGAAGAAGGAACGGCTTGGAGAAGACGGGTGGTGCAGATAAAATGAGAGGAAACAGCATCATCCATGGGGATGTTTCACCCTAGAGAGAGAGAGAGAGAGAGATGCTCGACAGGGGAACAGTGAACCCGATCACACTGTGTGAAGTGTGTAAAGCCTGAACGCGTTCGAATGTGGTCGACGCTCGAGTTATGTAGTAATAGATCTAAGGAATGACATCAGTTCTAGAAGTAGTAATCTCATCATGGAACAGACATGTATGAAGAAAAAGAATGACTCGATCTGGAAAACCTCGAATATGTTTTACATTATACGTAAGAAACGGATCGAAGGAAATCAATGTCTTGTGGATTACTACTAGTCATCGAACATGCCTTCATCCGACATGCTAGGTGACTCAGTTCCATTTACAACCGGCTTGTTCTCTGCAGAGGACGAATTAGAATCTCCAAGAATTCTTGGGTCGATGTCTAAATCATCATCGTCATCGTCCTCGTCTTCTTTCTCGTCTACCTGCTCGGGCGCTGCCTTCATTTGAGCTTCACGATGCATTCGCTGCTTGATGGCTTCTTCATACGACATCTCATACCAGACAGCACCTCTCCCGACGATGGATCGGTTGTGATCCTCCGTCATCCTCTCCTGCTTGCTTTTCTCTGAGTTCTTGGGCTCTCCCCAGTAGTCGTATCGGTACATTGCGCTCGTCGGGTCGTATCGGTCCTTTCCCCAGACCTCTTTGTCGTCGACGTATCTCCCAGGTTCCTCTACAGGAAGGCCGAGAGCTCTTCGGCTGCCAACGAGTCGCATATAGAACAAAAGATTAGCAGGTATCACAGAGCCAGAACTTGAAATGTAAACAACAAAGATCAATGCCTGTTAGAACAAACTGGATAAAGGACTTCAAAAATGGAAGGTACAAAGAAAAAACACATAGGATTACGCAAACTCATTTGAAGAACTATGAATATTTATCTCACAATTTCAATGCAACTACTCTGTGGAATTTCAGATAAAAGTATTAAAAGTATACCAGCTAATATCTCTGATCAGAGCTTCTCTTTCCTCTAATGAACGTTGCCAGTGCATCAAATCGTACTCATCCATCTCCACATTCCGTCTCAACATGGGAATTTTATACTCTTCTTCTCGATCTTCTGCTTCCTTCTTTAATTTGTTGTTGAGCTGCAAGCAACAGATCAGCATGAATCTTCGTTTTACTTCCATGTATATTCAAAACATATTCCCAGGCACATAACAAGAAAAAGAGGAACTGTCATGGCCAGAGTACATAGGGCAGCAATTCATTTTGACCAAGATAAAAATTCATCATTCATTTTGGAATATATGAATGATCTTTAACTTGGGCAGTAATTTTCATTTTGACGAAGAAAATTTAACATCCCTGTCTACCTTCATAGTCTAGGAACATATTGATTCGCGAGTATAACAAAGTAAAAAATGGATCTTAGGTTTACTAAAATTACCTGACGCTCTGCACGAGCAGAATCCATATCAAGTTCTTTGATATTTGTGTTCTAACAAAAAAGTACATCAAACAGAATATATTTCAGTTTTATCACGTAATCCAAAAATAATCTTAAACAATATCCGCCACAATCAGCATAGACCGGTCATCACTCACCAAAATTGTCTTTGGTAGCAAAGCCCCCTTGAAGTGAGCTTGTGTATATTCAACACTATTTTCTTCATCAAAATGCTCGTTAACGGTTGACTCATATGTCGTGGTCTTAAATTTATCAGGATTTTCCTCTTCATAATCCAGAATCATTTGCTCAGCATTGTGCAGCTGCCATAACTGCACACTCGACCAAAGTATTAAATTGATTATAACTAGATTGGTAAAATAAATATATAGCTCTAAGCTAAGGAATCAGCAAACTAGGAATTAAAGAACAAGAAATAGAACCAAAGAAAATATTAATCCTTTCGGTGATGTCAATCTAGACATGCCTTGTCTACATATGGATGATCTGATAACAGTGATTGATCTTCCATTCTGATTGAAGGCCTTTTTCTAGGAATGGGTGGCCTTCCAGACTCCCGCTGTGAAAAAACCAAAGATAAAGTAAGAGAAAAAAAAATCTTCACATGAAGACCATGACTTACACAGATCTAAGATCCAAGTAATATCGGAACATAAATATATGTTTCTGATGCCGATCTATATATGAACAGAAGCTTTGATGAGAGAAACACTGCAATAGGAGATTCTCCTTCCTGCTTGATTATACGAAGACATCTAAGCCTAAGACAAAGCACAACAAATATCTAATGTGATTTATAATAAAATTAAGCAGATAAATCTATGACTAAAGCGTAGCACCTTAACAAGAAAAGCAAAGGGCTAATCAACAAGCATGAGAAATGTTGAATTAACTGAACAACAACTATACTGTTGCACAGACTCTGATATCTATTAACGGAACCAAACATAATATTCTGAAATGTTTACACTTACATAATTGTCATATTTCCACTTATATCATCTAGTTTATGTACAGGTTCACCAGAGAATGGGGTCATAATGCTGGTTTCAATAAGACAGCCAAGGAGAATGATGCATTGTTTTTGCATATCGTCATCTTCTCAAAGATACAAATCAGAAGGCGTTTGTCAAGAAAATATACAGGTAAAGGCCACGCTTACCCAAAGTTGTTCAGGATTTGTATCCTCCTCCCTGTGAAAAATTGGCGGATAGTCAAATCTGTTGAATCTGCAAATATGGAAGCAAAGAAAAGTTAGAAACTAGACAAAAACAAGTTTTCCTAGGACATGATGTCTGGTACATACATAAGGTGATCAATGTTGGGATTGACAAAGCGCATTTCAATAGGAAAACGGAAACGGTATGGATCTCTTTTTGCCTGCAAAAGAGCAAAAAACAATTATCTTATGGAAGAAATCATGAGAAACATTGACTACATTAATGCAAAAAGGAGAGTATCTGGCTGGGGAGATAAAGTACTAACAATATAACAAAGGACCAGGTTTTCATAGTTATTGATGTTACAAGTGCACAGCGTAATTTAATATGTGTATGCTTAAATTCAGCATGTTAAGTTAAATGGAATATGCAGAAAAAAAAAAACACACACACACACACACACACAATCAGTAGTTCTCACACGTATCAGCACAAGCAAAGTAAAAAGTACTCACCAAAACTTCCACAAAGACATGCATACCAACTTTAATATGATGACGGATCCAATACCAATCATTTCCTTTTATAGGAACCCACCTAAAAGATCGTAAAGGACAGGTGAGCAAGCAATGACCAAAAAATGGACTAATCTAATCTTTACCAACATAATAATACAACAACAATAATAACAATTGCCACACATGATCTGGGGTCAACCACATGGGTATTTTCCCAACTTCAGACTCTGTTCAGAACAATATTGCCAGTAAATATTTACCGATAATCAAATGAATATGGGAGAATCCATTATAATTCTGTACCAGGACATCCTGAACTGTGACAAAAAATTATTTAGCTCGTATACACATGGTCTGAGGCATCTAATTCCTAGACATTTGTTGTCTTTATACACACACATAAATCTATATATACACACACAAAGACAACCACAACAAGAGAGTTTCTCTCTAACAAAACTAGTCCACCTATCCATTTGCAAGGAACTACGGATAATTTGCATGAACATAGGTTTGAAAAAATATCTCAAATGTTCATAACAAAGAAACACTTGCCCATCATGGACGCATCCAATGTCAACAAAGGCTCCTTGGTGAAGGTGTAGAGTTGTCACTTTACCTCGACAAATCTGTGGAAGATTTACATGTATCAAATAACCGAAAGAGTGAAGCGACCGATCAAGATAAAAGGGACCAAGAGAATATTTTTGTCCATTGATTGAAACAAGAACTCAACAGCCCACGAGCATATAAGATGAATAACCTTTCGCTACTCGGTTCAGGGTTCTACCTGTCCTGGGTATATAAATGGGAGTTCAAGCTGCAAAAACAATGATTTTTTATCAAAACATCGGTCCTTGACTGAGACTTTTTCAAAGATCCACTATAGGGCACAACAAAAATTGTAAATATACCATGTCATCTTTGTAGTCTTTGCCTCTTTTTCTCCTACCAGGATAATAATCTTGGTCAAACTGCCAACAAAATGAACAAAGTTGACTTGTCACATACATAAAAGAAGAATGTAAGTGATCATAACATCATAACAAGTTTTCTCGGAATCATATAGGTACTGTACAAATTTCTACAAGACATCAAAGCATTAGCAATGGTAAGTTCTTTATAAGAAAAGCAGTCTAGGTTGATGTGTACTGTATATCTTAAATATTTTAAATCCTTATACTTATTGTCCTGAAAATCCTTCAAAGTTTTAAAATATGCAAGGCCTATGTTCAGTTCAGGAAAAGGTGTCTCTATGCCACCTGAGCTCTGGATCTTTCCCAATTTTGGTCCATCAATCACTATCATGCCAGCAGACAGACATTGTAAACTGATGTGCATGGAATAATCATTTGATTAAGTTGCTCGGCGATTATTTTTCATTCATGGATTTTAAAATTTGGAACTAGGGAATGCTTGGCAAGTCCATGTCATACGCTTATAATACTCTTAGGTATCAGCAAGTGGCTTGGTGTTTCAGTTTTGGACTTGGAGCTTCTTGGTGCAAATTAAAGGCCTGTTTCAGAATTTTGGTCAAGATCATCCTATGAAGCAAATAATGGTGAAAAAAATCTGAAATTGCCTCTTGATTTGTTCGTATTCCCATGATCATTCTTTAAGAGATAGCTTCAAGAGATGAAGGTGACTTTTATCCCATAAAATGTGATATGTGCTATTGTCATGCATAGGTTATCCGCAAACACAAACTGAGATTACTCTAACAATCTCAGTGGCGATCCATTAACTCTCAGAAAAAGAATTACAAGTCATGATCAGGAAGCAATGCATGAAATGAAAACAGAGCTACCATTATACCAAGTCAGAAATGTATATGTAATTTCTAAGTGAACTACCGCCAATCTCAAAACATTTGCAAACGGGACAGTGAAACCAAACCAATATAAGATCATAGGAAGCCAAAGTTCCGACGCATTACCTTGTAAGACTCCTCTTCAAGCCGGTCCCTGTTTGCCGCCACCCACTCCTTGTACTGCCTCAGGAAGACCTTGTACCTCTCCAGGCACATCCGATCGGTGTCGGTGCTGACCTCCTCCCCCGGATCCACCCTCTCCGCCTGCAGCTTGTGCGCCTCCCTGATGAACTCCAGCTCCGCCTGGTCGACCTCCCAGCCCGGTGGCGGCCAGTCCCTCGGCGGCACCATTCGCACGGCAAGCGGGCCCTCCCATAGTGTCTCGAGGGGGTCGGGGATCTCCCCCTTGAAGGCGAACTGCTGGTCGAGGTACTCGTCCTCGGAAAGGCCGCTCTCCTCCAACTTCTTGCGGCGGTAGGAAGGGGTGAGCATCCGGAAGGCCTCGATGGCCTCGGGGGACTGAAGGGGGACCTCCTCGCCCTCATTAAGACTCTTTCGGGCGAAGTCGGCCTCCGGGGTGAGGATCTCCTCCCAGGGGGCCCAGCCCCGCTCCACCCAGTTCCGGCGGCGGGCCTCCTCCTCGGTCTCCTTCTCCCGGGGGCGGAAGGACTCGAGGAATGCCTCGTCGTCGTCACCTACGGGGACCTCGTCGGCGGCGTACGGGGAGGCGGAGGAGCGGACCGGTGCGAGTAGGCGAATGGCAGGGGATACAGGGAGAGGACAAGGGGAAGGGAAGGGGGCTAGGGTTATGGAACGCAGGAGATGGAGGGGGCGGTGGCGGAAGGGCGGAGGGAGAAGGAGTGGGTGGCGATGGTGGCTGTGGAGTTTGAAGCAGTGCATCGCTCTTCCGGGGATCGTTACAGTTTGGGGTTTTTGCGGGGGTTCAAAGGACGCGCTTCGGATAAGGAGGTGTGTGGTCACCGATTAGGTAAGATTACCGACCCTCTTTATTTCTAAACCGAACCCACGGCCCGGCTTTTTTTACTTGATCTAAATGGACCCGCCACTTGGCCGGGCCGGATTCAATTTTGACCTTAATTTTGACTTTTAATTAAATTCAAATATAATTTAGATCTCCAAACACACGAAAAGCCACAGCTGAGGCTTACAAAGAGTAAGATTTGGTGTGTCCATCACCCAATCTCTTCATGTAGATTTATTTAGGTGATGCCTTCTTTAAAGTTGTGAAGTAATCGTCATAGGCTTTTAAGGAAAGGTCATATGTCTTCACAAATACTTCTTATGCAATCATAACGCTACTTTAATTAAAGGTTTAATTATCACTAGAATAAAATTAAAATTAATTTATAATAAATAATAAATGCATCACATCTGACACCATCGATCATACTTTTCTAAGCGCAAGTTTTGGATGTCTTCCATCTCAAACCTGTTTCTTCTTTGTCGCACGTCTTTGATCGAGTCATGCCAAAAGCTTCCCCCCATTTGGCTTTCGCAGCACTACTCCTATATAATAACGTTTTATTATTATTATTTCATATATTGATTTATATTCCGAACAACTGTTCATAATTATTTTCTTGTTGTCATGTCGTGAATGATGGGTCGGATGGTAATTTAATGGATGGCATTTACATGTGAAACATCAAGATGTAGTGATATGACGTGGGAACCTCGAGATGGTGATTTTGGATCAGTCACCTCGATGCGATGTGAAGCTTCAACCAAACATTTTGTGACTCGAAAGGAAAATGCCAACCAAATTTCGGATTTTGATTTGTAATCTCATGCTCGTATTATTACAATTTTGAATCTGATTAATTATTTAAATTTTTTTGAAATTATTCTTTTCTTTTTTCCGCAACAACGAAGTTGGTGGCATGATGAGTCATGAACTCTTCACGTATGCTCATCATCATCATCATCATCATCATCATCATCGGATACGTGACATCGAATGCGTACGCGATACGACGCTCGAGGGAAAAGATGCCAACCGCACCGACCGTGTTCTCTCTCTCTCTCTCGCTCTCTCTCACACGCACACGGGCCACATCACATGAAACAGCGTCCGAACCCAACCCGTTTTGTTTCGCCTCTTCCCCCCTTCTGCTGCCGCTGCTGCTGCTGCTGTCTCCGAACGTGTCCCTCGTCTCCGGTAGATCCCGGAGCATGCCCCTCATTTCGCAGCTTCCAACTCCCCGACACAAGCCCGGGACAGATCGCTACACGCCAGATCTGAATCGGCCAACGAAACGAGGTAAGATTTGATCGAGGAGACATTGAGAGAGAGAGAGAGGAGGAGGAGGAGGGAAAGAAGATGCCGAGTGTGGCGGTGAAGGTGTACAGTTTGTTCTTCAAGCTGTTGCTGAAGCACAAGCTGCAGCACCGGTCGCAGATGGAGGACGCGGAAAGCCCCTTCGGTGTCACATCCCGCCCGGAGGAGTCCACCGCCCCGGCTAACCCTTCATTCGGCCCCGATGGAGTCGCTACCAAGGACATCCACATCGACCCCCTCACCGCCCTCTCCATCCGCATCTTCCTCCCGGACCCCTCACTCCACCGCGGGGGTGCCAGGCCCCGTTGGTCCCCCGATCTCGACCGCCGCAACAGTTACGGCGGTTCCCCCGCCACCCCCTCGCACGACCACGGCCGCCGCAGCAGCTACGACGGAGCCGGATCCGCGCACGAGAATGGCAATGGCGCCGATGCCGCCGCCGGCGCCGCCGCAGGGAACTACAGAGGATATCTGCCGTCCGTCGTGGACGCGCGTCGTCGGACGGACAGATCGAAGAAGCTTCCGATCATCATCCAGTTTCACGGAGGCGGCTTCGTCGCCGGGAGCAATACGTCGGCCGCGAATGATTTCTTCTGCCGGCGGATGGCGAAGCTTTGCGATGCAATGGTGATTGCGGTCGGGTATAGGCTGGCGCCCGAGAGCCGGTATCCGGCTGCATTTGACGATGGGCTTAAAGTGCTGAATTGGTTGGGGAAGCAGGCAAAACTGGTGGAATGTAAAATATCGATGGGGACTGCGAGGGGAGGAGGGATTGGAGAGGTGAGGAGGTCCCAGATCGTTGATACATTTGGGGCGTCCACTGTGGAGCCATGGCTGGCAGCTCATGGCGATCCTTCCAGGTAAATCTTCTTCTTAGGGTTTGTACTGGTACCAGTAAAATCTCTTTTCGTTAGCCATTTTGGGATGCTTACAAGATTAAACTATAGAATTACATCTTAAGAAGATAACGCCTGAAATCAATTGGTTTGCTTGGATATGTGTTTATCTACCCAAGTAGAAAGATGCTCAAATGGAATGATGGCCAGGGTTCTGGCTTTACTAACACTTGGATGCAAGATTAAGAGAACTTAGGGTATCACGGTAGAGTACAATTCAACAGTTAAAAATGGGTTCCATTTGTTGTCGTGATGAGATTTGGCTGTGCCTACATCTGGATTACTTTGGTGAAGTTGCCTTTAGAGTCAATGTTGTGGAACAAGGCGGTAATGGGGCTTAGAACTTTTGAGAAAGCTGTTGGATGCACTGCTAGAAGTATGATAAATTCATTGATTTAGTAGTGATGTTCACTCCCTTTTGACTGATGTGTGTTTTGTATTAGCAGTGCTTGGTGCATGAGAATATTATATGTCATAATAGTGGTTGATGTACGGATCAGCACTTACATGTTGTCGTGAAGTTCACATCCGTTGGCTTTAATACTGGAATTATGGCATTGATTGCTGGAGCTGAGTGCGATAAGAAATAATGTTTACGAAGTTGAAATTATTGAACTTATGTCCAATAAAGTGTTAATTTAGCTAATAATTATTAGATATTAAGGAAATATGTGTTAACCATTAACAAGGATTAAGTTCAGGACTTGAGTTATAAATTGTGTGGAAATTGTAACTCGTGCCAGAGGTAGCAATCAAATGAGCAAGGTGAAATTAAGAACTTGTAAATGAAAGTAGTAGGAACAGGTACAAAGTTATATATCATTGCGTAAGATCTTTTGGCAGATATGCTAGGAAACGGAAGATGCAAACAAGATTGTTTGGTAAAAGGTTTTTCACTCATCTGTTTCTGAAACGTGAGTTGCACAAGAACTGATTTAAAAGAAATATTTGCTTTCATTAATTTTGAGAGGGGAGCACATGGTGGTTTTCTGTTTTATTGCCAATTTTAACTTAGAAGGGAAAGTGACATGATTTAGTGAGTATTTAACTGTTAGACTGTCAACTGATTGGATGGGCATGATGGTTTCATATTTTTGCCACGAACATGCAACTTGTCGGCTACAGTTCTTCTTGGATGGGCATGATGACGTTTTGAGAAAGATCAAAATTATTTTATGTTTCACTTGAAGTAATAAATGGGGGAGAAATTGACCAATATGCAGAGTCATTTATCATTGTAAATATACGGCATTTACGTCTCACAGTATAAAGAGGATATAAGAAGTAAAGTATGTGAAGGAATATTGATGCTGCACTAAAGTCCAAAAAGATGTTTGGCTGAAGTTATTAACCGTACTCATTAGCACCGAGTAAAATGTCAGATACCAGATTTTAGACAAGCAAAGGGTTCTTGTTGAGGGCAAGAATGTAAAAAAATCAGATTCTTTTAACGTTTGCTCACTGCAGTTTTGTGTTTCCTTTAGACATCTCGAGAGTAAAGTGATTTTTTTAGGTATACTGCTTGCATTCTGTATCATGTTATTCATTATTTTGATTCACATGTCTATAGTTGAAATGAGCAGAGCTTTGAGGTAAATGCCTGACAAGTGTTTTCGTAATGGATCTTAAAAATGTGAATATTTGTCAGTAGTCTTCTATCGATGTAATTGATTGAGTTTGTGTTTTATCATTCATTCATTCACTTATTTATTTTTGTAGCTTGCCACTTTTAAGCAATGTTAGAGCATTAGAGGAACTGTTTGGTATCAGTCCTGAGTCAATGTTTGGTCAATCATTCTTGGTAAAACTGACACATACTCTGTGCTATCAGTCCTGTTGTGTTGACATTGGATCCATACTTGGTTACCTAAACAACATGTGATGCCAAAGAAAAGTGGCAAGTTGAAAGAATCGAAAAAGATTAGAAAGCCTTTCGAGGGATGATGGAGTTGACAGATTGAATTCTGCACAAAGCACTCATGCTCCTAATGATTAGAAAGAGATACCTTTTACCTTAGATATTTTCATATGATGATAGCTGAACTGCTTGACTTACACTTATTTGTTTTTTTCGGATGTTTGTGGTATTCCTTGTGCACCAAATTGGTGATATTATTTGATGTTGTGTAATCGATTCAAGTGAGAACCTAGGACAAGAATAAGAATTTCAACTTTCAATCATGCTTTTCTCGTTGGAGGAGATGGTTGACATGTGAGAACCTTTTTGTAAAATAATCATGTTGATGAATTTGCATAGTTCTTGACCTAACTTCTTGCTAGAGCACGTGCAGCTTTAAATTGGTCTCTGATGAAGGTCTGGGTATAAATTGGTAGTAGGAGTGAGAATTTGACTTCTTAAAAGCAGTATGAGTAGGTGGGCCTTCAAGTTTGAACTTTTTGTAGACCGATAAGGGGCATTAGGTAATTTTTCTCATCTTCCCATGAAAATGCCAAGGTTTTTAGTATCAATTCCTGTTCCAATCTTCGGTCAATCGGAGAATGTCAGTTTCCTTGGTTTTGTAGTTGTGCTAATTATTGACCATTTACGTACAAGTTTTGCCTGTTTAGATTATCTATATTGTATTGTTGTTTTTTAAATTAAAATCAGTTCAGTAGGATAGATGGAATAATATAAATATTATTATTAACATCATCAATTTCATTTGAAACACTATCAATCTGGACCTGATCCAGAAACCAGAAGGAATTTCGAGTTGGATCCGACTGATCCAGTTTTCGCCTTA